TGCAGGAAAACCACCATCTTCATTTCAATTTTGTTTTTCAGTTTGCACTTCTTATTCTAAAGGAAAAGAAAAACAAATAAATAAAATTGATTGCACATAGACAGTTCTCTTTCAAAAATCTGAGTTCCAGGTATCAATGTGTTTAGTCACTGGTAAAATGAGTGAAACTTACAGCAACTGCACTAGTACATTATGCTATTGTGCTGAAACAAGGAAAAAGAAAAAAAATCGAATCTAAAGAATTCACACTTAATTATTAAAAATGGTTTCGCTTACCAAATGAACCCTGTCATAGAGCATTGCAGTCTTCTGCATATCTAATCTCTTTTATTCTGGAGTGAGAAAATTTCTAAAAAAGAAAACTCTGGTCTGGAGTTTATTCAGCAATAGCCCAGAATGTGGCCTCAGCACTCAGAAGACTAATTACACCCAAGAAGTGTCAGAGCTTTAATGCAATATTAAAGTCACTACTGAGCATACATGTCACCAGTCCTATTTTCAACAGATAGCAAATATACAGCTCCCAGCAGACCCCAAAAGATCACCAGTTTGGCTAATGGAGCAGCCTCCCAAAAAGTATTGCTTCCTTACACACGGTTCAGACACATGCTTGCGCTAAATCGACAGGCCAGAAAAATCTAAGTATGTGTTGTATAAAATCATAAAAAATTCCGATCTCAATTCAATGTGCACTATCAGAACGATTGCTCTTATCGCATATTGTTACTATCCTGTCCAAGGTCCCAATAATGGCCCAACACCTTATGTTTCTTGGAAACATTTCCCCTTTATGTTTTGGGAAAGAAGGCTGATGGAAGTGTCCTCCTACAACATGAGATTTTGATGCATGAATCACTGGTAGCAACAGTAGATGTGTCTAATGAATAAGTAAAGGTTTATTCCATGCTGAAAAGTAGAAACAATGTTTTGGCATGCCGAGCCCTGTTCAGGTGACACTTGAGACACAATGCCACCTTATAATTCTTATTTCTCCTTTTCAGTGGTGAGATTTCCCCTTTAATTGTTCCACTGCATGTTGATACGACTCCCCTCTCACACCTAAGGCATCTTTCAGATAGAGGGTTACAAGTAGAGGTAGAGGTTGGCAGATACAAACACCGAGGACAGGAACCGCAATTCAGATCTCAAGAAGCTGCTGAACCACTACACACATCTCATTTAGAGCTGCATCAGCTGCTGTTGGCTCCCATATAGGGGCGGAGCAGTGACTCTGTGGCTAAGGATCTGCGCCTATGGCTGGAAGGTTGCCGGTTCATATCCCACAGCCGACAGAGGAATCCTACTCCATTGGGCCCCTGAGCAAGGCCCTTCACCCCCAACTACTCCAGGGGTACCATATAAATGTCTGACCCTGCACCCCAACCCCATGCTTCTTTCCCTATCTGTGTGTCTCATGGGGAGCAAGCTGGGGTATGTGAAAAGACAACTTCCTAAAACAAGAAATTGTATATGGCCAGTAAAGTGATCTTATCTTGGCCAGCAGCCATTTCACCCTGCAACTCACAACTGGCAGCCCACTGAAGCTAAGCAGGTGTGGGCCTGGACAGTACCTGGATGGGAGACCTCCTGGGAAAAACTAAGGTTGCTGCTGGAAGAGGTGTTAGTCAGGCCATGTGGGTCCTAACACCCCAGTATAGTGACGGGGACACTATACTATAAACAGGCGCCATCCTTCGGATGAGACGTAAAACCGAGGTCCTGACTCTCTGTGGTCATTAAAAATCCCAGGGCGTTTCTCGAAAAGTGTAGGGGTGTAATCCCGGCGTCCTGGCCAAATTTCCCATTGACCCTTACCAATCATGGCCTCCTAATAATCCCCATCTATGAATTGGCTTCATTACTCTGGTCTCCTCCCCACTGATAGCTGATGTGTGGTGAGCAGTCTGGCGCAGTATGGCTGAATGGGAGTCCCCATTACCTGTAAAGTGCTTTGAGTGGAGTGTCCAATTATTATTATCTGTAAGCAATTATTATTATTATCTTATATCTCCACCAGCATCTGGAATTGTGGCACTTCTCCAGAGGTGAACCGACCTGCTGTAAGTAGTAGCATCTAATATTCTGGTATGGCAGTGAACATCCGGCAATGTCATTACCTTTGTTTTCATAGTTCTTATTAGGGTTGTGATGCTTTCTTTCATGGGGGCACATTCCTTTGCATTTATTGCTCTCGCCAAGGCCTTCACTCCTTTACACAGAAGCTTACTGAGTTTTTGCACCTGCCAAATAAGAAAGTTTAATTTTACTTTCTTCCTAGCGTTCATACAACCACAAGCACACACATCGTCTACTACAGAGTCTTCCCTTGACTGTTCTACTCAGGACTCTTGTCCTTCCTGACTGCAGGCTCCAGCACCTTCTGATAGATCCCCACACTCATCTCCCAGCCTATACAGTCAGCAATCTTCACAATAATCACAATGAGGCGGAACCAAATCAGAAGTTTGTTTCGGACAGGTTTACAAACCTGAGCATGCTGGAGCAAATCCGGACTCAAAATTATGTGATTTGTTAACATGAATATTTACAGAGTATTAACCTAATACAATAAATTCCCAAATTCCTTCAATTCCTATTCAATTTTTTTAAGGAAAAAATTAGAAAGCACACAATGAGAGGAGACAGCAGAATTACACAATTACAATAAGGATTGGGAATATAGTAGAAAAGCAAAGAAGGAAGTAAAGAAACAATTAAATTAAATAGCAGTGTGAGAAGAATGTGCAGAATAAATCAAAGAAGATGTACTGAAAACATGCAATAAGAAATTCTATTTAGTTTTTTAGATGCTTGAAAAATACAGTGGAGACAAGTTTAGCACAGAACCTTAAAAATAATTGAGAGTTTGGAAGTCTCTGCTGATTGGTACTGTAAACACCACTGGAAGACACCCTAAGAAAAATAAATTTTGCACCAACAATGCTTCTTTTAGGACACACAGATTATAACCTTGGTTTGTTATGGCGTTTGAGCTGCTACATTACACTAAAAATCTGTTTGACAAAAGTATTGCGGTTCTTAGCATGATGCAAATTTACATCCAAGCAATATTGATGAAAACTGGTGTGTTTGCAATTTGCCACTTACCCCAGTGTTGACATATATATTTGGAACAAAGATGTCACAGTTATCCTAAATATGAAATAGAAATAAATTAGCATATTGATAATAGCTACAAAAAAGGCAAAAATGTCATTAAGAATCAATGGGCTTACCGTTTTAATAATGGAAGCAGCTTTAAGAATTTCCTTTACTCTGAGATTTTGGTGACTCTCTGCAGCAGCAATGAAGAAGCAAACAATTACAGATGTTATTACAAACCTCATGATTTCAGAGAAGACTCTGCCTCTTACCTCAGGCAGTACTGATGAGAAAGACGGAGGAAGAAGTGATAGAAGAAACCTTTTTGTTACATAAGACCTGACTCATCTCTTTACCTTTAAAAGCAACCATAAGGGCCATGAATTGCTATCAGATATTTCTTCTATATGACTTAAAAGCATATTCCAAATTTATGTCTTATACATTGATGTATATGTGTATCTGCAAAATATATTGTTTGATAAGAGCAACGAAACTGTTGACTAACATATACACAGTATCATCATTAGATCTGAGGTGAAATAAAATTGATCAGATCAAAGTAGTCAAATCTAGACTGTGATAACAAGAACAAACAACTTTTGATTCTTATCAGTTGATTGGTACTTTAAACTACAACGAGCATTGGTGCATTGAAGTGTGCTGTTCAAATGTGTTACCTGAAGATATTCAACAGAGTCTATGGTCTAAGGCAAGGAACCTAATAGATCTAGACATTATCTATGACTTATAAATATGAATTATGCATAAAAAAATCCTTACTTGGCTTTACAGAATTTAGGAAGTAGGATATTTAAGACTGGTGTGCTAGTCAGATTTAGAAAGTGAAATCTTCCACCATCAAGTCTATGTAGGCCAAACCAACCCAGCCTTTTTACTATGGCACAGTGTCCATTCTTTTGACTCTTTACAAGGTCCAGAAACAAATAGCATTATCAGTCTCTCTTCTGCAGTGTTATTTTTTTGCAAGCTGCAGAACAATATAATATTCTAATATAGTTATACAGAATATTAGATAAATCAGCCTCTCACTAGTTTCATAACCACTACTTGGTGTAAAAATAACTAAAATCCACATATCTAAATAATGAGCTGGAGAACCCAAATGCTATTCTCATGAGGATAAACTTCCTAATGAACCAATGTAGACAAACCTATCCTGTATGGCTTTGGGAGGTGGTAGGAAATGGCAGAAACCCACTTGAACACATGGATAGCATGCAAAATCCAGAGACAGGCAGCAGGGCTGTAATCAAACATTGGTTCTGGAGGGGCAGAGCAGCAGTGCTACACACCATGTCATCATGCTGTAAGACAAATCTACACCTTCACGTATCTCAAAAGGCCTCACTGTAAGACATTAAGCATGTACATCTCAATGTACTACCAACCCAAAGTATGACAGGTTGTCTGCCTAAAAAAATGATCAAAAAAATGATCAAATCTGTTGTAATGGCAAAGAAGCCCCTCTTGTGCTTTCTGTGAACCAAGACATTACGGGACATGTAACTAACATAAATCCATCCATTTTCAATAACGTAAGTTTGGCTGGTATTGGACAAAGTTAGATCCGAGACAGGATTGTAGAAAATACCATAAAACATTTATATTTGATAACACAATTAAACTAAAAGTAATATATATATATTCCCATTTGGACCATGCATAGCTTAATTTGAATATACAACATTTATTTAAAAACAGAAAAAGGTGCATCATTTAATTTTATTGCACTGTACCAAAAAAGACTACTTCATCTAAAAAAAATATTCTCAAGTACCTCTGATCTGCATTAAGAAAAGATAAGCACGGCTGAGGCAGGAAATTCACTTCAAGAACAATGTTCTTACCTTATAAACAAGAGACTACAAGCTTCATGACTTTCTATGCTTTATTTCAAAAAGAATTACATGCATAAATATTTCTTATTCCCTGTAATCTCCAACAAAGAATATTAAACAACATATAGAATAACATTTTTATCATCTTTTTGATCTTTTATGCAAGTACACAAATTATCTTTCAAAAATCAGATCTGCAGACAATCAGTGCTGCAATGGTTTCAAAGGAAGGTGCTTTTAAAAATGTTCTTTCAAATCACTGAGCCTTTAGTAGAATGTTTTTTAGGTTAGATTAGGTTAGAAGAAAATTGAGACTAGCATATCAAAAATACTGCATCTGCCTTTATATTACTAAGGTAAAGACTACAATTGTTTGCATTAACAATCTTTTTACCTTCTTTGGGAAGGTAGGCAAAATGTAACAGAAACTAATGCACATAACATTATTTCCATTTCAAAGCCCAACATTAATACATGTAATATCTTCTTATTCACAGTACATTCACTCTTATAAAGCTTTTCCAAGAGAATGTTGAAAAATATGGCTATTGCTAGACATTTGTGGGCCATGTTAACTGAAGTCATTTTCACACGGGGTTTTAGTGAATCATTTTGTAGTTTGTTTGGATGGTCAATGGGCATTTTGGCTAATGAAGATAAGAGTTCAGGGATGCAACACTGCACTTCAAGATCTCTGAACACTGGTCAATGTTCTTTTTAATCCTGTAGAAATGCTCCACGTACTCTGACCGACCAAGAAGCTCCACAAAGTCTTCATCGTGTGTGATGATTAACAACTGGAAATTACGCTGACGGGAACGACTCTTAATTATCCTGAAAGAGATACACAGATACAGTTTTATGACAGTTAGATGACATTTTGCAATTCCTGTTTTTGGTAGGAATTGTGAATTACCTCAAAAACAATACCTAAACCAGAAATACCTCTATAAAAAAAAAACCTGGAGCTGGCTTGGATGCTGCTTCACAAACCTGATATAGCTCTTGAGCATGAAATGTTAGTTAGTGAGTTATACTGACTTGCTTTAGAATCACCAGTATTAAGACCTATGATTGTGTAAGCCATTCAGTTTTGATGACCCGAGAACTCTACAGAGCCTCAGGCAGGGGAGTTGAAACCCACTGGAAGAGCAGAACATCTTTCACATAAGATCACTGCAAACTTTCGGACACCTGGCAAGTAACAAGCCATCACTGATTAGGATGAGATGATCCCATCATATACCTAAAGGAATTCTGCTATTAGTGGAGCTAGAGGACTGCAATCACTGCTGGGTGGACAATGTCTGGCCATAGGACTCAATCTGTGCCCAGAGAGCATCACGTTTTCTGAATGTATTACTGACGTAAATCAGATTTTCAATTTAAAAGCACACTTTTTAAAAATATAAAATTTGAAGAAAAACTAGCTCAGTGATCCTTAACCTGCAGCTTTATCTATCCACTTCACAGGACAACTGTACAAATACAAGCTGCTCAGCTCTCCAGCTGATCCTTATCACTGCCCATAGATTTGCTTTGTCTTTCCGTTTAGGATTTGCACATCACTGACAAAAGTTCTATAACTATCTGCAATTTTATTATAAAACACTGTTCAAAACAATTTTATATAATTTCAGTGTTTACATTTTAATTAGGAGAGAGGGTCACCTAATTCTCTACCTACCTTCCTCCCTGACACTGGGAAGTAAATGCAAATACAAATGAAAGAAGTATAAATAATGGTGAAATTTACATTCCTAAATATCAACAGTAGCTAAAATACTGTGGATTACAGTTTTCATTTATGCATACTCAATCCTAACAAAACATTTGTTATTTTATTGGGCAATGATTTGTGTTGAAGTATTTACACCTTTACACCTATTTACTATCCAGTAATAACTATAATGACAGGTTTCTTTTTCATCTTTTACAAAACTTTTTTGATCTTTCTAAACCTTTGTGATTTTAAAGTAAAGTTAAAAATAGTGATCTCATACTGAAATCTCCTTAATGTGCGAAATGGGATATTTTTAACCCTAGAAGAATCTAGAATGCACAAATGTAGCAGAAGAACTACAATACCAATCTTTCCAGTGCAGAAAGCAAGACTGCGGGAATAAATTATCACTGCAACCACTACTTCAGCAGCCTTTGATCTGTTCATACACTGTAAGCAAAAAAAATCCTGTCTTCCCACCTGTGAGTTTGACATATAGCATTTGTCCAGAGCAGAAGTAAAACCCAGACCTTATTTTCAGCCCTTTTTACTTAGCTACCCAGATCTAAATGTTTATACTGACATCTTTGATGCCAATGGCTATTCTATGTTGGAATATGTTGTAATATTCTAGGTGGAACCTTACTAGGATATTTCTATTTTATGCACCTTTCTCCAGCCATTCACACCTATCTATAGATCATATATAGTTAGACAAGCTGGTCGGGAGTCCTGGTTGCAATGGAGTATGGAAGAATACTTTCTCTTACTCTAAGAGGAAGCTTACACCAGCTTATCCAATTTAATTGTCCACAAAGAAGATTTATACAAAGTATACACGTAGATATGTTGCTAATGTATTTTTTCAGTGTACTGGTGCAACTGTGCCACTGAATCCCAGACAGTGCATTCTCAGTAATGATTTCATGATTTCAACATCATCATTGAGTCATCTCATTGAAGCCTACATTCGGTCTTCAGGCACAATGACTAGCAGATCTAAGGGCATATAAAAAATGTATCTTGCAAAGCTAAATGGAGACTGAAATAAACACTTGGGTGTTTTCATTTGCAGAAATTATTCTTGTGAAAATATGTACTGCTAGGTTATATTTTGCTAGGGCACGAATTCTGACAGCTTGGCTGAACGCTTCTTCTTAAAAACATGTTCAATTAGAAACTGTTTCCTATTTCATAGTATTTGAGCTCACATAATTTTTTCTTGTTTTTGTTGCAAATTATTTTAAGAAAAAACAAAGAACATAGAAAATAAGCACTGTACTGTATATAGTTTGACTTTATGTGACTAACTGAGCAGCTTTAAACTTTCTGAGAATACTTCATCTTTATTTATTTTTAGCAGGTGAGGCAAATGAAAGCTAATTTAAATTTATTTCAGAATGTAATTATTTTAACTGCTTACACTTATATAGCGTTTTTCTGGACACTCCGCTCAAAGCGCTTTACAGGTAATGGGGACTCCCCTCCACCACCACCAATGTGCACCATTCACCTGGATGCTCCCCACACTTCAACTAACAGTTGGGAGGAGAACAGAGTGATGAGGCCAATTCGTAGATGGGGATTATGAGGAGGCCACGATTGGTAAGGGCCAATGGGAAATTTGTCCAGGATGACAGGGTTACACCCCTATTGTTTTTGAGAAATGCCTGGGGATTTTTTAAATATCAGGACCTCGGTTTTAAGTCTCATCCAAAGGAAGGTGCCTTTTTTAGAGTACAGTGTCCACGTCACTATACTGGGACATTAAGACATACATAGACCAGAGGGTGAGCACCCCCTCCATTAGCCCCACTAACACCTCTTCCAGCAGCAACTTTAGTTTTTCCCCAAGAGGTCTCCCATCCAGGTACTGACCAGACTCACACCAGAGTTTCAGTGGGTTGCCGGTAATGAATTGCAGGGTGATATGGCTGCCATTTAGATTAGATTAATTCTTTAAAGGCTATTTGATTAATTTACACTAAGCACAACAGAGTTCACAAACGGGAAGAACACTGTTACAAGTGAGTGTGAATTTTTGTGGGAACATGAACATAATGGGTTTCTAGACTCCTCTCACCTAACTTTACTGTTTGATCAATGATGTGGCAATTTACGAATGGGTACATGCATAAAGGCCACATCTTAATATTATTTCCACCTCTGTATGAACATCCTTAGATAATCAATTCAGAGTTGTTTGGAAAGCTATGAGCAAGTTACTATTTTGAATCAGTTTTGAGCAGTGTTCCATTTGCTGTCTTTACTGGCAGCAATACACATTTAGTAGTTATTTTAAGGACCTGCGCTATAAAAAGGGATGCAGAACACAGAACTAAAGTAATTGATGCAATTAAGGGTTCAATAAGTGTAATTAACTGACAGTTCAAATCTAAATGACAACCAGCAGAGACAGAGGACCAGGACAATAACTAGAAAACCTTGCACTAGACCAGTGGTTCTGAACCTGGGGTGCACACACCCCTGATGTCCTTTCTGGGGGTACGAGACAAGACAGATTTTCTTGGTAAATCATCAAAAACACAAATTAGGCACAGACATGTAAGTACAACTACTATGTTTTATTATACCTTAGGTAAATTTAAAAAGTGTGTATTTTTTCATGTATTCTTAATTTTACTGTGAAACTAAAATAAATAAGCCTAATATAAACTGTACTCTGCAATCAGTTTACAGAAGCTAAGCAAAATTGACCTGGTCAGTAATTCATGACTTCACCATCTGATCTGTTGTGTAGAGGGCAAGCTGGAGCAGAATGGTGATAGAAGCTGTGGGTCCTGCTCTATGTATGTAAAGCCCTTTAGGATTCTTTGAGATTAAACAAGCTATTGAAAAGAAAGGTATTTCATTTAATATAGTTTTGAAAGGGGAAAACCAAAGCAATGAGACTGGATATTTGTAAAAAACACCTAAAACATCATGTGTACTTACTCTACTAAGGCATGGGCTAAAGATTCAATATTTTCACGGTCCAGATTAGTAGTTGGCTCATCCAGAGCAAGAATCCCACAATTTAAGCAGAAGGTCTCAGCAAGAGCAAGTCTGATGATCAGAGAAGCAAGTACCTGAAGATGGAGTGAATGTTATTAACAAAATACACAAAAAGGATTCAGTATCTGATAACACTGAGGTACACAATATCATTAAAGATTTTCAAATGGCCAGAATTCACTTGTGTAACTCAAATAATAGACCTATAACCAAATTAAATGAAAAAAAGTAAACATGGTTGATTTTGAAAACTATTTTCCTTTGTTTTTTTAAGTGCAGGATACAGCAGAAGCCCTTTCAAGTCAATGTGTAATCACTTTTAAATTAGGCAACTCAGATAGGATAGGGAAGTTGATTTATCATAATCAAAAATTAAGAACCACAGTAATTGTTTTTGGCTTGCTGGTCAGTTCACATGGAATGTACCAAAAGCGATATATCCTGAAGGTTTTACAAATGGAAAAGGTTAGTTGTGGCCACATCTTCTTGCACCAACACACAAAATTAGTAAAAAAAAAACTCACGAAGAGATCACAGATTCAATAATGTCACCCACCAGAAAAAGGTGTATTCTCCTGACATTATAAAGTAATAAATGTGCAGGTCTCAAATGTGAAGGCAGTGCGTGTTCAATGTCTGTTTGTCCGGAAGGAATGACAATTCTAAAAACCTTAGCTCACACAGTCAGTTGTATCTTCAGTTCATTCAGTTATTAATGAATATGCAATATAACCAAAATGTGAAAGTAAAATGCTGAATGAGACACACAACTGACATATTGTTGACCCACAATGTCAGGAACTTGTACTTATTTGGTAATTCCAAGAACTGAAAGTCTTGATTTCCCTCAAAATACTCCTCTTTCATGATTATGATGTTCTGATTGCTATCTCATATTTTCTGATGCTAATCTACGTACTGAGAGGAAATAGGTTTTGTAGTACAGTACTTTGCTATATACCAAATATCAAAATTTTAATGTTAATAGATTTTTGCAATACATTTCTAAACCAACAGTTTTTGCGACAATACAAATAATTAGCAGATGCTACTTAAAATCGAATAGGTTATTTTGCATCTATTGCAAAATGATGCTACATTTCAAAGATTTGTTTCAATGTTGCTGACAACAACTAAACTGATGTTGAGATTCCAAAAGCGATTCTTCAGCACAACCCTTTCGCAGAATATTTACCGGTTTCCTAAAAGGTTAATTAGTCAATTTTGACAAAAAATATACCTGCAGACTGTGCAGTCTTTCTTTGCTTGCCAGAATATTCATTACTAACTTCCAGTCCAAGCTAGTAACAGTTGGTTTATGCAACTGCATCTTGTTGCCGTGTCAAAACTCTTTGACTAAATATGGTTTTAGAAATATGATCCACATTGTGGTACATTTACAGATTATATGAATGAAGGTATTACATCACTAGACCCTACCTTCTGCCCAGCACTGCATCTCCCTCTCATGTCCAGTGCAGTGTCACCCTTAACCATCACAACTCGGTAGTTGTAAGTTCTCCTCTTAAGGTTAGCTGATACGTTTTCGTCGACATCAGAGCGAATCTCCACATATTCAATGTCTGTAGAACAGAAAAGGAACAATGGATGTTTACCAGGACTCATTTCACGCATGAAAAGAAACAAACCTTTGGTGACATGGTATAATAAACACAAATCATGTACTGCTAATACAGAGTTCATGAAATCTGTCGGTCCAGGACAATGTTACACTACAATAACTAAACACGGACACTGATACCTCAGATCAAAACATACAGCATTAAAAAAGTGAACAGTGGTCAAATGTTTCTGACACAGTCATGTAATTGAGCCATTTTTAAAAGTCATGTAAGTTTATAAATTACCTTGTCCACGGTAAGTACTTCTCCATAAGTCACGGATGATCTTATTGATCTCTTCCATTTTCATACCGTGAAACTTCATTATTGCTCTGTGGAATCAGAAATAACCGATTAGAATACAAACGACAAAATCACCTCTACCAGGATGTTTTTTTAATTGAACATTTTTTCCAACACTAGGTGGTGCTAGTTTTAAAATAATAGCAAAAAATGACATGCCTTTGAAGAGAGGTTTTACAGTACACATGCATGCAATGCAACTACATCTTATCTTTTCAATTTTAAACATTCTTCTGAGCAAAATTTAGGGAAAAAGTAGGTTTAATTTGATTATACCCTTTATACAGAGTTCATGAAATATTCAGGACTATAAGTCATGTTACACTACATGTATCACTACAATGCTTAAACACGAACATTGACACCTCATTCACAAGGTACAGATGCTGTATCCTGTCTAAAATTTAAACTGATCTTGTTAGATCTTAGAATCATAGCAAGTCATAGTATGGGATAGGAGCCTGTTAAGGAAAATGAGGTTTCTGCTGTAATTGACAGTAGTGGACTAGTAGGTGGCACCTTTCCTTATGGAACACAATTTTCAAACCAATGCCCCCTCTTTGTTGTCAAGGGACACTGCTGCTGCAAGGGACAATTTAATGTCAGACATTTAATTGAGGTTTTAAGTAGTTGGACATTAAAAATCCTATGGTACTGTTAGTGGGGCTGTGACTCCAGTGCCCAAGCTAAACTCTGCTTCTAGTCTAAATTTCCCCCTCTGTTCAGTTGGTGAATTATTTGATCTGGTGTGTAGTGGGACTGCTGGCACACGCTTGCTATGTGTCCCAGGTAGGTGCTGCACTTCTGTATTATATAAAGTGAGTCCTTTTTTATGTGAAAAGCTTAAGCATCCTCTGGTGTGAAATACATACAATTCAATCACAAGCAATTATTTTTCTTGTGTGAGGGAAACAAAATCCCAAAAGTTCATTACATAGCATTAAGGGTGCCAGGAACAAAACAGGAGTATTAAGGGTGTCAGCTATGTTTTTAAAGGACGTCTTCATCACCAAACTTGCAACTTGGATGAAGTGGTTCCTTTAATTTCTAAATCCTTCTTACTTTTATGTTCAGAAATATAGAAATTTAACATGGATTAAAAATGTGCATATTTAAACTTTGAGCAAATAAAAGTGAACCAACATTGATCTTAGTGAGCATGGAAACTCCCTACATGATGTTCACGAACTACTGAAGAAGAAAGGAAACTCAAGTGTCCTTATCAATGCCTTTGTTCACTTTGGCTATTACCATTACAGATTTCTGCAAACACATAACAAATGTGAGATGAATCAGCAGAATGCTTTCATGAAGACAAAATACCTGAAAAAAAACCAACATGCAGAGATTATATCTTGCAGAGACCACATCCACTCTCAAGTTTGGAGGTCAAATTAATTTACTGTCCATGTCTTACTAAAAGTTTGGATCCACAGAAAAAAATATGTACATCGTACATGCTGAGTTTTGAGACCAGTCTTTTTATTTCTTTATTCATTATCACATAATGTACTTAATTACAGTGTAGACTAGATATTGAAATTCCCCATCATTATTCATGTTATGCCTGTTGAAACTGCCCACAGGGAAGTGAGGTGATTGATGGAAAAAAGAACAGTCATTCCAAAAAGACATCATGGTAAGACTGAGTTTGACTATTCTGGGTGCACTGAAGCTGACAGTGTTGGTGTTCGTAATATGATCTTTATCTTGCGTGCTCGCAGTAAGTAATGCTGTCACTTCCTATTAGATAAGAGGCCGCAAAGTACTTGCTTTTGCTCAACAACTGTTCTGACCTTATCATCATTTTTAATTCTTTATTTTTTCTTTACAAAAGAAAACAAAAAATACATATATGCCTGTACACATATTGTACACTATGCAAAGCCTGATTTGAGAACCTATATTAGGCAAATATATAGTCAATCTAGTCTAGATGCTTTGATAAAGCAAAATAGACACATATTACACTGCAAGTTTAGGCTGTGATTATGGAAACACTGATCATAAGATTACACAATTATAAAAAAAATGCAAATGCATCAACCAGCATGTGAAATATATAAAATCTCATTCTGTTACTAATAAGAAAAGAAACAAACACACCACCACATCTAGGATGGAAGACAAAAAATGAATGGGTAATAACTGGAAAAAGTAACTTCTATGATAACTAACAAATCAATATATTAATTATATTTGTACTGCAATGTCTACTTTGCACTAAGCTGGTTGCTGCTAAGGTTGCTGCTGGAAGAGGTGTTAGTGGGGCCAGCAGGGTGCGCTCAGCCTGCAGTCCATGTGGGTCCTAATGCCCCAGTATAGTGATGGGGACACTATACTGTAAAAACAGACGCCGTCCTTCGGATGAGACGTAAAACCGAGGTCCTGACTCTCTGTGGTCATTAAAAATCCCAGGGCGTTTCTCGAAAAGAGTAGGGGTGTAACCCCGGCGTCCTGGCCAAATTTCCCGTTGGCCCTTACCAATCATGGCCTCCTAATAATCCCCCTCTATGAATTGGCTACATTACTCTGCTCTCCTCCCCACTGATAGCTGATGTGTGGTGAGCGTTCTGGCGCACTATGGCTGCCGTCGCATCATCCAGGTGGATGCTGCACATTGGTGGTGGTGGAGGGGAGTCCCCATTACCTGTAAAGCGCTTTGAGTGGAGTGTCCAGAAAAGCGCTATATAAGTGTAAGCAATTATTATTATTATTATTACTTTTCTGTCAAAGTCCTAAAAAAGCTAGGAAGTATATAATGTTAATAAGTTTATAAATAATGTGAAGTCCACAGAAATAAAAATCACCAGGAAAAACTGCATCACCACAATACTATCTATTAAATCACTCGAGTAACATCAGTGACCTTTCATCTGAGTAATTCAAATCATGAGTAACTGTAATGCAAGTGATGTAACTCTGGATATCCCCTTAGAGAAAACAGTATGATTAAAGTGGACAGTACATATCACTAGGATACTGGAAAATGACCTTTTGTTAATTTTTTCTGCTAAGCACATAAAATACAGACCCTTACGTGTCTAGTTATACTTACTGATCAAGTGTCTTGTAATAGATGTCCAGGTCCTTGTTGGCCAGTTCTGTTGTTCTCATTACAATCATCTTCTCTCTGAACTTTTCCTCTGCGTCACAATACCCGTCCTCCCGCAGCTCCTTCCGAAACCGCAGGATCTCTTCCTCAAACCCCTTCTGCCTGCCCAGTGCTACGCTGCGATTCTTCTTCAAGTCTTCGATTCTGCTGTCCACCTCCTTCCGTTCACTGAACAGTCAACGAAAAAACAGCCCTGCCGTGATCATGTTTATTTATGGTAGGGGATCAGACTGTTACATTTTTTTTTAAAAAGGCATCGATCTGCATTCCAAGTCTTTCTTACTTCCTCAGCTGCATGACCTGCATGTCTCCCATTTCCTTTATCAGGGCCCTTCGTTTCTCGGCGACTTCTTGAAGCTCTTCAATTCGCTTCCTTAAAGTCAGGTTATCCTGGAGCCATCTTTCTTGGATCTGGAAAAATAAAAAGGCTAACATTCTTGTTTCTCTACAGATTCTACAGAGGCAAAAACTGAGACAAAAATGAAAATACCACCTCCATAAAGCAGATGACTCAGATTTATTTTAGGTGCATTTCAGAAGGCACATATTTGACTAAGCACTTGACACATTATGAACAGTAAATATATAAGGGCATTGCCAGTAATGAACAACATATACAATTTAATCGTATTGCTTAAAGACTTATTTTAGATATGATGGACATTTATAACTCACACTACACTCTATGCTTGCATTTGTTTTGCCAACAGGATCTGATTAATCTGAATATAGCACTTCATTCTGAAGTTGTTCTGCAGAAGCAACAGTTAGCAGTCATGTTGCTTTCTTACCTTTTGAGTATCAATGTCTTGCCTAATATTTCCCATTTCTATGCTGATCTTCTCTCTTTGTTTTTCGGCTTCATGGAGATGTGTGTTTGTTTCCTGCAGTTCAGCCTCCTTTTGCTACAACAGATGCACATTTTTCTCATTACAAGTTTGGTTAATCATTTTTTATTTTGAACGTGAGCTCAAAAACCAGAACTACACGACAGCATTACCTCTTTGTATTCATCCTTCCCCTCTTTAACATACTTCTCAATTTCTTTATCGCAGATGTTTATGTTCCTGATCTTTTCCTTGATGGCATTAATCTGAAAAAAAAACATAAATCCCTCAGTGTCCGAAATAACCTTCTTAAGAAAAATCAATTTATAGGTTTATGTCAATCATATCATTATAAGAAAAGAAACAAATCATTTTTTTTACATTTCATATTTAGCTTATAATCACTTAGAAATCTTATGATGAAATTGCATTACTAATCCAGACCTTTTCCTGTCCTTCCTCATTTTTCTGCCTTCGTCTCTCTATGAGCTCCTGCTTCTCCTGCTGCAGTTTCTCCAGGGTCATTGCAAGAGGCGACAACTGTTCTTTGGCTTCCTAAAGAAAAGAAGCATCACACTAGTAACTAGAGGATAATGCCATTCAGCTGTAACAGATGCAAAACATCCTGATTGAACAGTCCTCAAGTTTTCATTATGTGCATTATGCATAATACGAATTCATCCCAAAACACTACTTACAACATGTGTGTTAAATATCCTAATAGAAGTGTATTAATCATATTAAAAAACACTATAAAGACTGCGCTAGTAGATTAAGTTTGAATGTCCAGCTGAGCTGAAGGTAGTATAAATAACTCCTATCAAAGTACTGGATTTACCACTACCAATATCTCACAGATAAAAGTCATTAACTCAAACTCAATTATCAATAAATACATAATCCAGCCATCCATTTTCTAACTGCATTATTTTATACAGTGTCACAGGGGAGCCAGAACTGACCCAGACAGGCAATGGGTGCAAGGCGGGATACACCCTGGATGGGACACCAGTCCATTGCAGGGGGACACACAGAACGAGACACTTGCACCAGTGGAAAAGGTGCAAAACCCTAACATGATATATAAAGAGCCACTTTATATTAAAAAACTAATACTTCAGTTGATGGAAATGAAGGCCGCTTCATGGTACCATGTCTTGCTCTAGATATGACAACTGAAAAGTAACTTTAATACCAGTGGAAGCATGCATGCAGACATGAAGTGTCAATGAAAAGGGCTATCTAAAATCTCAAGGGTCAGCCCTCCAGTTTATGTAGTCTAGGAAGCAATCAGTAGATTAAACTGCAACTAAACAATGCAGGCAAAGATGCTTAAAGCCAGCAGCACCATACTGCTGTCAGCTGGGAAAGGACAAAGAGGTGTTACGAAACCTGTATGAAAAACCTGAACAATACACAACTACAGATATTAGTACTTTATAAGACATTGAAACACTACTAACCTAACCCCTTTTTTCCATTTTTAGAAGCAAAAGAAAACATTTTTTTCCATTTGTTAATGTCAGTAATTTTAGATGGCAGTGCTCTTTGCTCCGAGTTTATTCAGTCAATATAAAAAAAATTAGGTGTAAAAACACGATACTTTAAAAAGCTTCCAAAGAACAACAGATGCCATTTAGTATTTGTGATGATAATCTCAATGACTAAACTCCAGACAATTACCTTCTACATACATTATTATGTAGGCTACTTTTTCATCTGTCCTAGACTGTATTATACTCACACTACTTACCCTCTCTCTGACAGACATTCTTTTGTCTTATTTATTCATTTTACAATGAAAAAATAAGACTATTTATTATTAGACATAAACTTTGTGGCATATCAAGCAGACTTTGTTATTTTAGGGATAGGCAGATCCCTTGACATTTCTGAAGCAAAGAACTCAATAGGCTCCTTTAATGTGCATAGTTTTAACATTTAATGTACAGTAATGTACATTTAATTTATAATACAAGAAAGTAAATGACTTAATGTACCCGAATCTCTCTATGTAAGGACTGGATCTCCGCAGAAAAATCTACACATTGCTCCTCCAACTGCTGCTGGCGCTGCATATTACTGGAAATTTGCAGTTTTTCAGCTCGCGTTTCATTAATGCTGCTTTTCAAGAGCTGGATTTGCTCCAGTTGGTCCTGGATTAGCTTTCGTTTCAATTCAATTCTGCTGGAGGCTTAAAAAAAGAGAATATTATGGAAGAATTACATAAACAATGTTAATTTTTTACATTGTACCCATTCATTAATAATCACTTATAAAGATGTCCTCTCTTATAGCATGATACTTTGTGACCTCTAGATACAACCAATCTAAGCCATTTAAAAAATATGCTTAATAAAGAAAACAAATGAAAACAACAGAATCCTTACACATAACAAGATGGACCATAATAAGAACCTACGGAACTTTCTTCAAAGTTTGTTCAAACACTTAATAAATCAATTTTAAAAAGGAGATTCGTAGAGACACAAATCACAGTCTGAAATTAACAAAAATAAACCAAACATATAACATATCTTATCACAAATATAGAAATATTAAGATTTTAAACTTTCCGATACAGATTAAAGCAACCCTCTAAGGAAGATGGATGATAATATGAGTGAGGAGCACAGTGAGCTCACTTGTGTCCAGTTTGTGCTGCGTCTCCTGTTTCTCCTGATTGACTTGTTGCACTGTGCGGGACAAATCAATGCCTTGCAGTTTCGTTGCCTGCTGGGCAATTTTCCGTTCCACATCTTTCAAATCCATCTAGAAAAGTAGAACAGGTTATAAAAAGGAACAAGTTAATAGGTTTATTCCATGCTGAAAAAAGAAAGAAAGAAAACACAACGTTTCGGCCGTGGAGCCTTCTTCACCTGCAGCCTACGCATGCTGACGCAGCTACCCACCTGAACTACTACAGGTTATAAAAAGACCTCTATAAACATGCGTAGCATGGCACTTGGCAGCAGTGTGGAAGTGGTCAGGGTTCCAGACAGCGAACCAGGGGGTGATGAGTACAAATGTGGATACTATGGGACAGTGCTTGCGAACCCTTGAGCAAGGTACTCCATTCAGATTGCTCCAGTGAATGCCCTACTGTACGGACAAATCAAAGGCATCGTGGTCAACAAAATTTTGTTCTCATTTTGTTAAATAAAGGAATATTTATTTTCTTTTAAAGCTGCTAGCGTAATCCCTTAACACTTTTGACAAAGAACATGCACTATAATTAATAATTCCTAGAAGTGCTACGGGAAACAGTAAGAGAATTATAATTATAAAGGGCAACTGTTTTTTAATAGTCCTGTGAATCATCAACTGGCACTGTATTTTTACTAAGTAACAAGATGTTTGATACCATGAAGGGCAGAGCAAACTTAAAGAGGTGATTTTCGATAGAAAAAAAGTCACTGCTTTTCATCAGAGGTCAGACCATATTTGCACATCATCTCAATGGAATTTTGCATTACACAGCACAACATTTGCAAGAAATGAATCACGTAGCCTAACGAGCATCAGCATGCCAATATGCACGTCCATGGCATGCACAATAGTGTTCTTTTGACAAGCTGAAGGTTACCAGATATCTGTCCATCAGAGAGATGTCCTGGAGACAAGCCTTCGCCGTCTCTTCTTCAGACATCAGCCTGGCCAAGAGGGTCTCCTGCTCCTCAATGTCATTTTTCAGACGATCTATATCACGGTTTACATTCTGGAGCTTGTTCCGCAACTCGGGCAGGTCCTTCTCGCCCAGCTCAGACACAGTCTGCCTTTGAAAAATAATGAAAAAATTTTCAGAAAGCCTCCATATAATACCTATTACAGGTGTTCTTCTATCAAACTGCCAAGTAAACTACAGCATACAATAACATCTAAATAACATGCAAATCAATTCAGCCACGGGGTAACCTGTAATAAATGGCAATTAAACCCTTTAACAGCTGTTGTTTCACTCAGGGTGGAACATTTAGTCTAGAATGCCTTTTGTTTATCATCACTGGTAAAGCAGAACTGCTTGTTTTAAAGTTGGGGAATCAGGAATATTTCTGGACTATTCTGGAACCTCTAGTTTCTTCAAAAACAGTTAAAAAGAAGGGTGTTCCTGAGTGGCTTGCTCAAAGAACAGATGGAGCAGAGTTGGTTAAACTCAGAGGTGAAGAACCTGGCTGAAGCCCAGTGCAGGCTGGGATTAGTCAAGCAAACAACAACTGTGGGATACTGGTGCACCTGTAGGCTTGCAGTGACATCATTGAAATGTCTGCTACTCCACCAATTAGTACTAACTCCCCTGTCAGGTGCTTTGGAACAAATAATGAATGCCCTTGCAGGTGGAGAAGCACATCTCATTTCTTTCCGAACTACTAAAGAAGACACTGTCAGAAAACAGGGTGTGTATGTGATAAAAAAAGGTTAATTCTGAAAAAAAATCATTCTGAGAAGCTGGCCATCAACCCGTCTCAGATTTTGTTTTAAGTAACACCTGCAAATGACATTTCTCTAGCAGTTGAGCTGACATATATTACATCTAAGCATTGAACAAAATGTCAGAAACAAATAGTTTACGGCTAACAAATAGTTTACGGCTATTACGGTTCAATAAATACAGCCCCTCTCCCAGTCACCTATGACTCTATGTAAATTCAGCTTTATGTAAAACCTTGCAGATTATGAAACAATTGTTTCATAATTACATTTTCAAGTCACTGACATGTTATGTGTATAAAGAACAAGTGTTCTGTGAGTTGATTCTGTGAATAAATAATCAAGAGTACAAGTAACAGAGACACCACGAGGATGCCATTTTACACTCTGAATAATTCACATTGCACTCATAAACTAATTTTATTTTGTGAACAGTGGTAAAAGGTTAAGAAACTCCAATGTTTAATTTATTATTTACTGGAATTTTTTTTAAGTGTATGCTATATTTGGGGCTGTATGGTGCTATCGCTGTGTAGTTTGCATCTTTTCCTTGTGTTCACGTGGGTTTCCTCCAGATGCTCTGTGTTCCTCCCACAATGTGAAATGTGGCTCAGGTGTGAGCATGTGCATCTGTGTTGGCCCAGGGTGCATCTTGCCTTGCGCTTGTCTCATTTGCTGAGATAGTCTCTGGATCCCCAGCAACCCTGGAAGAAGCTTTTAGGAAATGGGCGGATATTACATTTGGTGTTAATTTATTCTAATTATTTTATTTTAAAATGTTATTCATTAAGCAAAACATTTTAACTATAAATATAATGAATGATCATTCTTTATACGTCTTCAAGCAAAGGCTAAGAAAGGGTCAGTTCTGACTTAGGTAAAAATTGTGTTACACAAAGGCCTGATGAACAGAATCTTTGCATTAGTCAGGGTGTATGTCAGATAAGAATGTGTGTATATTATCCTGTGGATCTTATGATATTACAATCACGTTTGGAAATTTGGGATGAGTCAGGTCTCATTTTATGGGAATTGCAAGATACAGGCTATAATTATGTACAAATATAACTTTTATAATAATTAAGTTTTAAATAAATTAGCTGTTAATCAGGTAACAAAAATCATACGAAAAAAAGTAAAGAACACACTTGAAGTAATAACAGTAATAATGAGAAACGTCATGATCATTCCTAATACTACAGTGACCTCTTGTGGAAATAAGCTTGCAGCTATGTGTGTGCACTGTACTATGCAATTGTAAGGACAGGATAAAGCAGCGATCTTCATTCCTGTTGCTGGATGGTTTTGGTCCACCAGGTTGTATAGGGAACATATAACTGCCAAAGAGTAAAGATTTGGAAACAACAGGAAATCTAGATAAATAGTAGATTTGGCTACAATTGCGTAGGATCAGAACGACATAATGGCTTTATTTAAATAATGCATTCAAATAAACTCATTACAAGGCATGTTGATGGTGGAATGAAATCAGAAGACATGGCAGACTTCCAGGATCAAGTGTGATATAGCTGATCTGATAATAGCATTTAGATAAACAATGAAACAAAAATGACACAAACACCTAGGTGTTGCAATTATTTCACTAGGTTAACATTGATAAAATTATTAGTAATAGAGTGACCAGCCTGTACTATAGAATAATTTCATGTCAGTAACAAAACCTGACAGTAGCCTGAAGCATTTCCCTAATCCTTGAGTTAAACGCAGATGGTAGTTCATTCACAATTGTTTTTTAATCCAATTAGAAAGTGTAATTCTGCGATCCCTAAAATGAAGTGTGAATGTAAAGCCATGTTTAGAATCTGTAGAAAATAATTTAATAATCCAAAAAACATGGTGCATATTAATAAAAAATTAAACATCCATCCATTTTCTAACCACTTCTTCCAATTCTGGGTCCTGGGGGAGCCAGAGCCTATCCCAGCAGGTCTGACACAGACACAGGCACGTATACAGACACACACTCACACCACGGTTTTTCACAGAAAGCAATGAACATACCAGTGTAGTTCTGGACTGTGGGAGAAAACCTCCATAGGAAGAAAATACAGAAACCAGGGCCTCAGCCCTGTGAGGCAGCAATGCCATCCATCGGCCCAACTTGCCGCCCAAAAAGAAACATATGAATCCAAAAATAACACAGAAAATGAAAGGGGTTTTTGATGCCCGAGGAACATTATCACCTGTGAATCTGGAGCTTCGTGTGGCTCAATACCTGATAGGTCGCAGCCCCATCATCTCATCCTTCTTCTTCTCCTTCCTCTTCAGGTCTTGCTCGGTGTTCTTCAGCTTGTCGGGAACGAGGCGCAGCTTGGACTGCATGTCGTTGATGACATCCTGCAGCTCGGCCTCGGAAGGGAACATCCTCTGGCAGACCGGGCAGCAGGGCTCCCTCTCCTCTGTGAGCTGGCTGATGAACTGCGTGTACACTGCTGTGGCCCCAGCGAGCATAGCTGGCAAAAGAGCAGAGACTCAGAAAGCTCAAGCCCAAGACACTTTACAGCCACCAAAACAACGATCTAGGTAGAAAAACTCATCTGAAATAGTATTTTGAAATAAACTGTACTTTTATTTCTGGTTCAAACATAGCATGACACAAAGGATCTCATGACAGATGTTAGAAACCCAGAGGAAGAATATACCCTCTGTAAAATTTCCAATTCCCAAAAAAAACAGTCCACATCTTCTGAATAGTATAATGTATTGAATTGCATTGTTTTTTTTTAAATAAAAAAACTTACTTCTTATGTTATATATATATATCTGTATAAAGAATAAATTGACAGCACCATCAAAGAGTCATACATGGGTGTTAAGGTTGTAACAGACTTACTAATCATACTGTAAAAGCCATCCTTTCAGTTTGAATTTTCCAGCCAATTCAAAATCATCTATTTCAAGACTGAGAGGATTACAAAGAGATGTGTTTTCATTCAAAGCTTTTGTCAATAGAGATCTCGTATGTAAAGACAAGATTGAACGGGTGAGTCTGACTGAGCTGAATTGATGGTCATTGGTTGGATGAATAGGGGTGAATAAAGTTACTGGAACCATCTGTAAACAGTTTTTGGAACCAGGCTGCAAAACATCCATATGTTTATCAATCTGTAATTAAGCAATGCTACATTTATTCTATGACACATTCCATAAGTGATACTGATGAAAAACATCTCCACACCTCTTTGCTTGGAGGTTTTTTCTATGTCATCTTGCAGCTTAGAGAGATCAGATTCAAAGTCTTGATTTCCACACACTTCAAACAGTTTCTCCTGGTAGGTCTCCAGCTGCTGCTCCTTGCGTCTTATTTCAGCAGCACTGTGGTTTTTATTCTGTTCTCCAGAAGCCAGGTCCTTACTTGTATGAAAAAAATGGAAAAGTCAACCATCACTGAATACTTCACTTAGCACTAATAATGTACTACTCTAAAGCATGTCAATCATAATCCCAAAACTTCACATAGTATTTTATTTCACATCTCTCTAAGCACAACAGTGCACCAGCAAGAATTAGTACTTTTTTCTTTGATTAATTGGTACCTCTTAGAATACAAGTACTAATGTTCCAAAAATGTTCCTTAGTCTACATATATTAAAGTATCCATTACAACTACATGTGACTAATTCATTTTTTATTAATTAATCTTATTAATTATCCACAAACCATTTGGTAATAAGAAAATATTACTCATATGAATCATGGGATGTTTCAATATTTCAAATACTTTCTTTAACATTTTTGTTGGTGTTGAAGAAAGATGTGAAGACGGGGGTTTGAATTTAATCCTTTCTGTAGGGGGTTTAGACTTCTAAGTCACAAGCTGGGGTTTATGGCAGGAAAGGGGGGTTAACTGATAAGGATTGCAGATGCAAGCTATAAACCCCCCTGGGTGTAATCTTAAACTGACCATTTGTCCAGAAGATCGTAAACTGGCCAAATACCATGAACCCCCCTCTTTACCATCAGACCGAGTGACGTCAGAAACAGAGAAGAAGACACTATATAACCCAAAAGTTTGTAACAGTACGGGGAACAATACTTCGGTTTTGTTGTTTCTTGCGGGAAACAAAACTTCGCCTTTATTGTTCCTTGCATGCAATAAACTCATCTGTTTTACTTCATCTCGGGATCAAGAACCTTATTCGTTCTGTTACAACAGTGTTATAAACTGTATAATTCAAAGGAATGAAAATGTTTTCAATTTTAATTTAAGAGGTGACTTCAAATTACCATGTCTGTTCTTGGATGGATCTGGATTTGAAAGAGTGCAGAAAAGTCTGTCTAGTTTATAATATTCTACAAGTCCACTAGAGGGAGACAGATCTACACTTTAAAAAGCACAGCAGGCTGTAAGTATGTGTTTTAATTTGTAATTAAAAGAACAGCTGTGAAAAATAATAAGAACAGAGCTTGTATATGATCTGAAAACAACCTGAATAATAATTACTACCCTAGTTATATTTTCATCTAAAGATAAATATTCATCTAAAGAGAGAGTACTGTCAATATTTTAATACAGAAAAAAAGAAAAGACCTCCTTAATCGAAGGTTCTGCTCAAAAGAACAATTTTCATTTCAGCAGTGATCCTCATTTATACCAACTCACTAAGCATGATTTTGACATCTACATGAAATGTTTTAGTGTTTCTTACAGTAAAATGTAGTTTTGTGGAACTGCAAATTGATTTCAGAACGTCAGTACAGAGCTTACATATTTTAATTATATTTACGTAACCTAACGGAAGAACAATAACCTTAAAAGCGGATGATGCAAACTGGAATTTACAATAAGATCTATTAATCACCAGGAGGGGCCAACCGACTTACTCTTCTAAACCTTAGTATTTAGTTTACCTGAAAAATATTATTCAGAACTAAAACAGGTGATTTTTTTCCCCAACACCTCACATTTGTGAAAACCAAAAGCAACTGTTAAGAACAGAAACGTGGCGGAATTTTCTTTAGGCTCCGTATCATCACACAATCTAAAACATCACCCACTAATGAAACGTCATAGAACACGGCTCTATTATACAATTAATTGCCACAGCTTGTGTGAGAGAGCTTGTGTGGTTTATAATTCTTACAGAAACCATGTGTAGTCACAGCAGAGAGAAATATTTTCCTCTACGGGCCTAGGGGAATCCTCCGAGATCTAAAGGAACAAACGTGGAACAAAGGAACAAAACTTCCAATATCCTTATGTGAAAGCTTTACCACAGATGGGACTGATGTGCACATCAGCAATGCCTTATCTAAAAAAGTGCTTTAAAGCAACTAAATAATTAACTGTGAAAACGTTTGTATACTTACGTCATCCTATACAGTTTGTCTCTTGTTTGATTAATTTCTCTATTCTTTGCATGAATCCAGTCCTCCAGTTGTCTCTTATTTGGAAAATAACCTAACAGGGACGTCAGTTCATCACTGTGACGAGACTTGATTTTCCTAACTTGTTCATCCTTATCAACCTAGTAAGAAAAGAAACAATTCCATGTATTCTTGGCCCGCGAATTTGTTTAAATTTAAAACCCACTGAAAAACATATGTGAAGAGGATTTAAGTGTTGTTCTCCAAGGGTAAAATTATATTGAGCATTGAGCTTCTATTAAGATCGGTTAAGTTTTACGGTTGCAGGTAAAGAGAGAGCAAGTTTTATTAAAAACATTTATACTTTTATGCTACAACAGGAGTGAGTCAACATGTTTTACCTTATCTTTTTTCAGCATGTCCATCTGAGTCCTTGCCATTGTGTGTGAATTCAAAAGCTCCATTTCTTGGTCTAGTTTGCGCTGTAAACGGTCCAATTCGACTTTCTCACTCTGAAGGTCTGTAACCTCTGCCTTCAGGGCTTCTATGTTAGAGGTTTCCAAAACATTCTCCAGTTCCCGCTCCTTCAAATGAGAGAGAGGAATAAATAATAACCTAGATTAAAACAACACGAAAAATAGAAGCAAGCCTTCAGATGCAAAGAGGTTAAGATACATGTTGATGTGCATAATAATTAAATAAAAGGAGTACAATACTCAGCACTGTTTCCAGACCCTTAATCAGAAGTTTGTTTTAAATGAGGCTGAGTAATTGTCTGAATGAGAAATTAGGAGATATGAAACTCCAGAACTATTACCATTTAACATAAATGTAGTCTATCACTGGGAATGGCTGAAAGGCATTATTCAAGTCAAAACTCTCACGTTTACAGATGAATAAAAGAAGCTTTCATGGTGTTCAGTGAAACTGCAGGCTATCAAGCAACAGTGTACTGTAGTTTTCTATCTAAGAAAAGTAAACTGATGTTATCTTCAACATTCAGTTCAAAATCTTTTTCTTTTTACTCACTGTTTTCAGAAGTTCTTGCTCCATCTCTTGCAGTCTGTCTGATGACCCCTCCAACTTCAGCAGCTCATTCTTCACACTTTTCAGCTCCTGTTGTTTTTTATTCTGTAGGTCCATCTTTAAGTCAATTGTTCGCTGCAGTCCTGTCTTTTTGTCTCGTATCTCATCCATAGCGTTCTGTTTCATTGCTTCTTTCTCTTGGAGATCCCTCTAATTTTGTTGAAGAAATTAAAGATTTTACATCAATTATTAGATAATTGCAAGACATATACTGTATATATTCATATTATTTCAAAATATTAAAATACCTTAATAGTGATAATTCTTGCTCGCAAAAGACAAATACAATATTCACAAAAAAAATATTTAATTAAATCTACAGAGTGCTACGTGCTGTATAAGTAGGCCAACTGGAGGTATTATATCTTGAACATATATGGGCTTTTAAAGCCTGTTCTTCCTAAACTCGGTAGACAATAGTTCTTTAAGACAGAAAGGCTTCAAAGAGATCAATTAAGTTTCAGTTTTGCAGAAATGAGATCATGATGTATTTTGCTAGCTTTCAGTCAAAACAAAGTCAAGATAATAATAGCATGAAATTGTGGTATTCCTAAAAGGCAAATAAGATGGGTATTAAATAAATGGCAATAAATGGGTTCTTTTTTTAATGAAACAGTTCAGCCTTCTGTCTACGGATCATCTGTGCAGTATCTCCATATCCTGAAGTAGTTCAGGTGGGTAGCTGCGTCAGCATGCATAGTCTGCAAAGGAACAAGTAATAGGTTTATTCCTTGCTGAAAAGAGAAGAGAGAAAACAACGTTTCGGCTGTGAAGCTTTCTTCTGTAGAAGTTGTGTTTTCTCTCTTCTCTTTTCAGCAAGGAATAAACCTATTACTTGTTCCTTTGCAGACAACGCATAGAATAAACCTATTACCTATAACCTATTATTAGTTCATCTCCATATCCTGACTTGTCTTTGTTTTATTCATTTTAACTGGGAACTCTAGTCCACTGCCAAGGATGAAGGTCCCCACATGACTTTAACTGAGGAACAAATTATATCTGAAGACTAACTGAGAATATATTTGAGGTTACAGTAAGGAAATATCTGTTGTTTCAATTTCATTTTGCTAACTCTGCATCAAGAAATGCCAAGACTACCTTATTTAGCTGAAAAATAACAAATTTCCACCAGTGAACTGCTTAAATGTGTTGCTGTTAAGGCACAAGCCCATTCCTGTTATTCCTGTTTTGTAATTGTGTATAAAAAGACATTTCAGTTTAGAGAAGAAACATGTTCAGTTTAACTGTTTTCTTTTCTCTTTTTGCAGTTTAATTGCAAGAAACACTTATTCTGTTATGAAAATAGTCCTACCATCACTTGGTTTAATGCTTCTGTCTCTTTATCTTGGCGCTCTTTAACTTGTCCCTGGAAGCTTTGCAGCTGCCTCTCATTAAAAGGTGACCTTTCATAGCCATCCATTTCCAGGTAAGCAGCTAAGGCCTTCACATGGGAATCTCTGTTCCTTATGCTCTGCTGGTTTCGGTCTGCCAGCAACTGAAGACGGCCTAGTATGAAAGAAAATATCTATATAAGCACCCACAAATACACAGACAATATATACACAAGGAGTTGGTATTGAAAGGTATGTATGTTTTGCAGACAAACGTGAGTAATTATTGTCGACGTACAACATGCTATCATGGAAATTCCTTATTCTCATAAGCAATATGAGAATAAGTGGGCCGCCTTCTTTTTTTAAAGGCCCACTGTTTTCCTACATGCAAACTCAAAATATACCTGAAATACTCTCCTGCAGTGGATATTTTAGCTTCTCCAACACATCTCTATTAAAAAGTGTTTTTGCTACAGTGGAATACAAAGGAATAGTTCAAATGTTTGAATGGTAAAATAAAGCATTCTACTTAATAGACTCCCACTTTGAGTAATTCTGAGGATTCTAGGGTCTGCACGATCATGTTCATTAAAAAAAAAGAAGCAAATAATTAAACTTTATGCATGCTTCTTTAAAACAAGTTAACATTTTTTTACATATTCAACATCTCACAAAGGATTATGGAAAAGCCTGCAATGGATCAAACTACAATGAAAGGGAAGCCTTGCTCACTTATTTGTATATCAGCTGCTGCCACATTTAGACTCTTAATTATCTATGCTATCCGCTTTAGGTTATTAATAATTTGAAAGGTGGAAAAAAAATTGTACCCTGCTCCACCAGCAGATCAGACTTCTGGCGGTTCAGTCTCTGGTATTCTCTATTAGTTCGCTCTAGCTCACGCTGATAGTCATTCAGTCTCCTCTCTTTCTCTCTCACTGTCCTCTGGTGGTTCTGGTACATCTCTCTCAGCTGCTCATCTGTGCCCTGGAACTCCTGACACCAGTGGAATGACATACAGTGACACGTGCACCACAGGGAAACAGGAACAGGCCTTCTGCTGGAGCATCGCTCTTCAGTGGACCACCAGCAAGTACCTCCAGAATTAACAATACTTCTGAGATTTTATACAAAAAAATACACAGCAGATTACGTTTTATGATGTAGTGCATTCAAAACTGAGGGAGAACAAAATTATTAATAGACATAAAAGCCTCAAGTATATTGCAAACAATGAAGCACTGATACAGTTCCCTAGGTACCACATTAAATATTTTTGCACAATCAAAAACTTCCTAAGTTAGGGCTATTATAATAACACAGCAGAGCTTCAAAACTTCAAAGCTTATGAAAAAGAAAACCTAATGAGAAAAATTTGTGAATCCTTTGAAATGATCTATTCCTGCAGTATTTTCTTCTAAAATGTGATCTGATCTTCATCTCAGTCACAATATTTGATGAACACAGTCTGATTAAACAAATAACACAAACAACTATACTGTTTCATGTCTATATTAAACACTCACTCTCTATGCTGGAAAATGTATGTAGCTCTAGGTTTGAAAAAATGGCATCATCTTCAATAACACCTAAAAATGTATATGTAGAAATGTAATTTGAATTTAAGGTGCTTTCATATATTATATGATTTAGAAGTTTTTGAAGCAAAACATCAAAATAAAATATGTAAGTACACTATTAATTTGCTGAACTGCACTCTGAAGAGGTTGACTTTGCATTATACAAAATGTACATTAAACAACTGTTAAAGACCTACCACAAAGAATTATATAAAATTCAATTCAAGCCTTATTATGCTCTGGGGACAAATTGTTTTACAGCACATTCCAGTACAACACTAATACATGAAAAATTAACAGCATAGAGAGTACAAAAGTGTTACAGGTGATAAAGTTACTTTGCACTGTTTCTAAGAGATATTCCAGTGGGGGTGAACAATTTCCTGAGTTTGTTACTTTCACACCTGCGTGACAGAGCTGTCTCCTAGATGCAAATAGTGTAAATTCACAATGGTTGGGGTGACATACACACTCTTCATGCTTAGCCTTCTTTACAAACCTTATGCTTGCAGGGTGATATTGCTCCTTTAATTCACAACTGGCAACCCGCTGAAGCTAAGTAGGTGTGAGCCTGGTCAGTACCTGGATGGAAAACCTCCCAGGAAATACTAAGGTTGCTGCTGGAAGAGGTGTTAGTGGGGCCAGCAGGGGGCGCTCACCCTGTGATCTGTGTGGGTCGTAATGCCCCAGTATAGTGACGGGGAAACTATAATGTAAAAAGGTGCCATCCTTCCGGCGAGACATAAAACCGAGGTCCTGACTCTCTATGGTCATTAAGAAACCCAGGGTGTTTCTCAAAAATAGTAGGGGTTTAACCCCTATTTAGCCTGGCCAAATTTCCTATCGTCTCTTACCAATCATGGCCTTCTAATAATCCCCCTCTATGAATTGGCTTCATTACTCTGCTCTCCTCCCCACTGATGGCTGGTGTGTGGTGAGCATTCTGGCGTACTATGGCTGTCATTGCATCATCCAGGCGGATGATGCGGATGATGCGGATTGGTGGTGGTGGAGGGGAGTCCCCATTACCTGTAAAGCGCTTTGAGTGGAATGCCCAGAAAAATCACTATATAAGTGAAAGCCATTATTATTATGCTTGTAGAGGATAGTTAAGATGATCTGATTTGCCCCAATTATTCTGCTACTTATTTTCGCTAATTTTGCCAGCCTATTACAATGAACAGTACTGATTTTATCAAACCAATAAAATGTAAGTAATGACACTTTCAATAAATTCTTATAGAAAAGCGTAAGTGTTCTACCTTGAAATAACTGAGTTTCCTAAGACTAAAATCTCTGTTGGCATTTTTTATAAATGATATCACAACTTTTTATCATCTTATGTCTTTGACTATGATGGAGCCTGCTAATGGCTTTTACATGCTGAACTGTAATCATCACGCCTGCTTGATCACAAAGGCTCCCCCCCACCCCCGTACTTACCCCCAAATGGTGAATGTTTACCCAAATGGTAAATGTTTACACTAAACTCCTGATGACAAAGGAAGGTTTCTATTTCCTTCGGTTACATCAAAGACAGGAGGGGGGAGGAGGAGGTGGGGGAACGTGTATATATAAGTTCTGTAGGACCATATCCACTTTGAGCTACGATAGGTACTATAACTATTATGGTGCTTACTGTGGTTCCTTGTATGCATACAATAAAGCTTGGCTGGACAAACGAACACTTCAGGCTCAAATTTCTTGGTTTCTATAATTTGGCGCTGCTTGGAGGGTACTCCAACGACACAAGACTTTCCCACCCAGCACCCGAGACGGCATTCTGTGGACAAAATCAGAGGTAAGGACTCCTCTTTCCAAAAGTCACGACTCTCTTGTGCTGTGGTGGGGAGGCTCCCTTGTCCAGCGAGTACAGCCTAAGTGTAAGTTTGCAGAGCCAGCAGGAATTCCCTGGCCCAAGGGAGGCACTGGTGCAGTTGTGGGTAAGTGCTGTAAGGCCTGATTCTGTCCCGGGCAGGCATTCTCTATCTAATCCAGTAATTCGAGGGAACGACTATGCAGATGTGGCTGCCAGGCAAGCAGCCCTGGGAATGCAGGTCTGAGACCACTGTTGGTGGAAAAAAAAGGACAGCTATAGAACATTCAGGCTGAGGTCTCTAAAACTGGACATGGACAGGGTTAGAAAAGAATTTGGCGCTGCCAGCAGACCGAATCCCCTGCATGCCCTCACTGCCTAATGTCTTTTGTTGCCTGAAATTGGAGACCCAGGTGTGAGTCAAATGGTGTGCCGGTTTTCCCAATGGGTGGGGACTGCCCTGCAGCTTGGATTCTAATCAAGGGACACACTTCACTAGAAAGGTGTCAGGCTGTGATCGCCTCACCGGGAGTGAGTTGGGATCTACAGTGCCCCCATCATCCTCAGTCTTCAGGGAAAGTGGAGAGGGTTAATCGAACCCTCAAGAAGAGACTCACCAAGCATTCTGTGGGAGGGGTCTCCTGGATGGAGCTGTGTAGTTTGAGAGCTGGGACCAACCGGACCACAGGACTAAATCCTTTTAAAGTCGTCACTGGGAGGCCAGTGCGTCTCACTGACACTTTTGTTGCCACCATCATGATCCGAGACAATTAACTAATTCTTTGTTGCAGTATTGTCATTTGCTTTCACAGGCCAATGGCCTCACCACCCACCAAGTGAAGGCGGCCTGGGGAAAGACCATTCCTGGAGGCCACGAAATACAGCTGGGAGAGTGGGTGTGGATTAAAAAGATACCACCCCAGACGCTTCAGGCTGAGTGGGAGGGGCCGTACCAAATGCTGCTGATGACAGACTGTGAAAGTCCAGAGGAAGGACCAGTAGATTCATGCCTCCTTCTGTCGACGTGTCCAACCTCCGGTGGAATCCACAGGTAGGTTTAGTCATTGAGAATTTCTAGTCTGACAGTACAAGTCAAGTACAAGTGTGAAGTGTTAACATATCCTAAAAAGAATTTAGAAGCGACTGGGAATACAGTGCCAAATACCACCAAGTTTCTTTTATAGTCATATAGCCGTTTGTTATCATGTGTTAACAAAGCGTAGCTTAAATATTTCTGAAATCAATGGTCAGATCAATTAGCAAGTCTGAAATATGCAGAGACGGCAGTATTTACAGAAGATGACTAAGCAGGCAGCAGTTTTATCTTTAACGATCAGCGAAAGAGCCAAAGGTGATTTTCATTTAGAACACTGGTTCCTATCACTGACTGCCCACCTTGTCAAAAAAGTAAGACTTTCTGAACGAACAGGATCTTCAATTTGGTCCTTAAAAATTAGATAGGCAGAGAAACTTGCAGAACGAATAGCGTATTGTCATTTGACAACTTTACAGTAGAAGCTTGTGCTCTTTAAATTTCAGTAACCTAGTGTGTAAATTTAGAACCTGGAAATCTGGTGTATGCCAGGTAACAATCCGTCCACTTGAGACATGAATGACACCAATAATGGAAGTGGCTTTTGACCAAGAGTATTTTTACCAGACATGGGGAAAGCCCAGTTTCACACCCACTACTTCCTTGATGTCTGTCACAGACAGTACCGTTCTATTCGCAAGGTTTATTTTCTCACATGTGTGGCACAGATATAAAAGAGATATTGCATCTACATCAAATAAGGATTGAAATTAGAAGCTTGCCTAATGCTATAAAATGAAGCAGACCAGGGGTGTTTGATCTAAGTCCATGAAGACACGTGTTTCCACTATTGTTCTAGGTCTCTTTTTGCACTCGAGTTGCCGGGAGAGTTTGTTCAATTGTTTTAGGTAAGGCAGCTGAACCAAAGGTGGTGATTAAGATCTGAAATGCAATGAAAACCTGTAGAATGACCAACCAAACTTCTAGGACCTGGATTGGAAAGCCCTCAGGTTAACACATTTGACAAGGTCCTCAGGTATATCAGTACTTTTTTAATGCAATGCAGTAGATAGGTTTGAAAACCCCCAAAATGTAATTGTCAATAAAAAAAAACAAATTCATCTAATGTTGTTATGGGATTGCACTGACATTTATTTGCTCCATGAAACCATTTACATAAAATATTCTCTTGTGTAATGCATAAAAAAGTGGAGACCCTTTTGTCGCAGGAGTATACCTATTATTTTTATAAACTAGACTGCAAATAAGATCTGCAAAAAATAAATTATATTTGAACGGTGTTGTTTACACTTATAACTGACATGAGTGGTTAATGCCATACCTGCTCCATCTTCTCCTGTAATTCACGGTTGTCTTCCTCCATTTGTTTCTTTCTGCTGTCCAGAGCTTTTATGTCATTGTCAAGTCTCATCACCTTCCCCAAAGTTTGATCAATATCCATTAGACGGGTCTAAGAAAGTGTTTGGACAAAATATTTAAAAGACTCATAAAATTCAGAAGCTCCTCATATTAGTATCTAATCACTCTGACCACCAAATGTCTTTAATTCTAATATTTTTATGGGGGCATTTTTCTTAAAGGGAATGAAGAGAAATCATTCAAGAAATCGTTCAAGAGAACGGAGGATACCAACACTGAGTTAAATGCATCAACTGTTACATTACCAAGCCATGCAGACCGTTTTGACAAGAAAATTATCCTTAAATAGTAGTAAGAGGAAATAATTAGAAGAGACAAGTGGGTTTTTTTTTCAAAAATGTGATAAAACTACCATTCAGAGATGTCCAAATTGGTCCTTACATGCTCTGTTTAACTTGAGGTGGTGTAACATACAGTAAAAATAACTAGTGTTGAGAACTGGAAACAGTTTGAAAGTCCCAGTAGCTAACAGTGCCATTTCCTTAAACGGATGCGTGATATACAGATGGTGCAAAGACAACAAGAACCATGAATTTAACAAGTGTTAATCTGTATGATTAACTTATTGCTTTTGAGAATGTTTCTTGCTTAACATTTAATAATGTAAAACAGATAACTTATAAGTCATTCAGTGTGTGCAGATTTTAATCTATTTTGCTATAATAGCATCCTTGGCTCATGGCTTCTGAAATAGTGACATGTACATTCAACACGATAATGTTAAACCATAAAAAGAAAATACGTTATTTCAGTGCTATTTGTGCAACTTTAAGAATGCTGTGTTTCAGTGTGTGAGACTGTTCTTTCAAAGTTATTTTGAAATATTACCTCCAGTGGTTCAATCTGACCCTCAATGGATTGCACGTGTTCTTTAGAAGCTGCTAGTTGCAATTCTCTTTTGTTGAGGAGATCCTGTATTTCCTGGGACTTTTCCTTGTTTTGTTTCAGGTATTTCAGCTCCATCTGGCACTCTTTCACACACTGCCCTTGCTTCATTCTCAACTGGCGCAGCGTGTCCAACACTTTAATGTACCTAAAAGTTTGTAGTAGCGAGGGATTTAAAGACGTCAGTCAATAACATTGCAGGATTTCATTTTAAAGTTTTTTGAAAGATTTTCAGAAAAAAAATTGAATTGTCTTGAGTGAGTGTTTAAGGGAACACTTGAAATTTTTTTTTTCGAGTCTTTGCTAGAAATTCTAATTTTGCTATTTAAAAATGTACATGAAATGTATAACCAAACAGCAGATTTTACACATCCCTTAGTTTAAAAACCGTACAAACTAGCATACAAACATGCTTGCCAACATACTGGTGAATCCTTCATCTAGAATGTGTGAACTTTCAAAGTTCCTGGCACTTTTTAAGAGATATTTTGCCTATTTCTCAATACATGCAGCTTTAAGTTCAGCAACTTATACTGGCATCCAATTTTGCCAATAATGTCATTTTTAGGAATGGTACAGAAAAAAAAAAATAAAATAGGCAGAGACTTTCCTGACTGGCAACTAACTTCAAATAATTCCAATTGGGATTTTAAACAAAAATGTTGGAAATGACCAACATTGAACAAAATGTTTAAAGTGGCAAGTGCATTTAGAATATTGTAATATGTTAAAAAAATGACTTGAATTTAAACTTGCAAGTAAAGATATTTTCCTTAAACACTGCATGTGTTTAAAGATACCAATGCAACATTACCTATTTGCTGGCGAGTGTATATGTGGTGTGAGAATGCAATATTTTAGCAGCAGAATTAATTAGCTTTCTGTAGATGAGGCTTGAAACATCTCTTACTGGGCAGGCTAAGAGCATAATGCTCCAAAACAGTGCAGGAGTGAAAGAGTTTATATTAAACTGGTAAGTGTATAGGAACACTTTTAAGCTGTATTATCTTTCTTACTATCATCTCTCAGTTAAAATAGTAAAATAGTCATTCTACAGCTTTTTGTACAGTTTCTACGTCTAGCTTCAATTTAACTCTAAATGAAGTAATTATACACAAATGATTACATGATTTTGACCTTAATGTTCTGGAGATGATGTTTTACCTATCATTACATAATGCAGATACAAATACAGATCAAACTCTGGCCACTGTATTCTTACATACTGTCTTTCAATCCAGGGCATTCTCAAGGCAACTAATTCATCTAAAAATGTACAGTAATCAGAAAAAATTATAATAATAAAATACAAAAAATGCATAAGTATGAAATTAAAAGAAATGTTTTGGTTAAGAAATGAGGTTAGTTATGAGGCAGGATTTTAAATACATCAGCAGAGGGTGTGTTTTTAATATGATCTGGAAGAGAATTCCAAAGATTGCATCTTCTAATATATGATGGGAAGTTCTTGGAATGTTGAGTCTAGAGCTTGCAGAACAAAGTGAGTGAACTGGGATGTATGGGGATAGTAACTCTTGAACGTACTCAGGTGACAGACTGTGCTGTGGCTGGTAGATCAACAAGAGAATATTAAAGTCAAGTCTGTGAGAGTCTGGTAGCCAGTGCAGGTTTTCTAGCACTAGAGAAATATGTTTGGATTTTAAGACTTGGGTAGCCCTTGAGCAGCACAGTTCTGGACATACTCGAGTTTCTGAAGTGATTTCCTGGATCATCAAGCTAGCAAAGCATTGCAATAGTTTAGTCTGGAGAAAACGAAAGCACTTACTTCTCTGCATCAGTAAGAGAAAGAATTGGTCTTAAATGGGCTATGTTTTGTAAACGGAAGCACACGTGCTGCAGTTTTTGCAGTCATGTCAGTCAAAAGAAGTGGAGTCACCCCTCTATTTTTAACAGAATTTGAGGGAATAAGTACAGAATCACCAAAAGTCTAACATTGAGACTTGACAATTAAAATAATCTTGGTCTTATTCTTGTTTAACTAAATACTACATGTTAATATGTTAATTCTGATCAATTAAGTTTGTGAAATTAACAGTTTGTTAATTCCAGGGTTTTCTATTTAGTAGTCAAAATGAAATCCTGACATAGGTGGAGGATACCAAATTATATTTTATATATCAACGTGCATATACATAACACAGTGGTGCTAGAAAGTTTGTGAAACCTTTAGAATTTTCTGAATTTCTGCATTAACTTGACCTAAAATGTGATCAGATCTTCATCTAAGTCATAAAAATAGTTAAAGAGATCCCAATAAAACAAATAACACACAAAAGGAAATGCATTTTCATTCATTTATTGATCAAAATGATCCAACATTAAATGTCTCTGTTGGAAAATGTATGTGAACCTATACTTTCAGTAACTGGTGTGACCCCCTTGAGCAGCAACAACTTCAACCAAACATTTACTGTACTGTTGATCAGTCTCGCACATCAGCTTGGAGGAATTTTGGCCCATTACAGAACTGCTTCAACGCAGTGACGTTGGTGGGCTTTCTTGCATGAACTCCCCGATTCAGGTCCTGCCACAACATTTCTATTGGATTAAGGTCTGGACTGTGACTCGGCCATTCCAAAACATGAAATTTCTTCAGCTTCAACCATTCTTTGGTAGACTGACTTGTATGTTAAGGGTGTCTTTGTCTTGCTGCAAGACCCACATTCCGTTGAGCTTCAGTTCACGGACGCATACCCTGATATTCTCCTGTAGAATTTGCTGGTACAATCCAGAATTCATAATTCCGTCAATGATGGCAAGCTGTCCTGGTCCCATGGCAGCAAAACAGCCCCAAACCATGATACTGCCACCACCGTGTTTCACGGCTGGGATGAGGTTCTTATGTTGGATTGCAGTGTTTGGTATTCGCCAAACATAACGATTCTTATTTAAGCCAAAAAGTTATATTTTTGACTCATCCGTCCACAGAACATTCTTCCAGTAGTCTTCTGGCTCATCCAGGTGGTCTTTAGCAAACTTTAAATGGGCAGCAATGTTCTTCTTGGAGAGTAGTGGCTTCCTCTTTGCTATCCTGCCACGCACACTATTCTTGTTCAGTGTTTGCATGATGGTGGACTCATAAACACTGACATTAGCCAGTGCAAGAGAGGCCTGCAGATCCTTAGACATTACCCTGGGGTTCTTTGTGATATCCCGGAATATTATATGCCATGCTCTTGGAGTGATTTTTGTTGGACAACCACACCTGGGGAGAGTAACAATGGTGTTGAAGTTTCTCAATTTGTACACTATCTGCCTGACAGTGGATTGGTGAAGCCCCAAGTCTTTAGAGATCATTTTGTAACCTTTTCCAGAGTGATGAGCATCGACAACTCTTTTGCCAAGGTCTTCAGGAATCTTCTTTGATCAAGGCATGGCATGCATTCACAGACCTGTGTGGTGAAGACCAGACTTTGGTAGTGAAGACTCAGTTTATGTTTTTTTGAATAGGGCAGGACCACCCAAACTCACACCTGATTGTCATCTCACTGACTGACACTCCTGACTCTAATTATCCCCCTAACTGAACTGATAATCCTAGAGGCTCACATACTTTTTCCGACAAAGACATTTAATGTTGGATCATTTTGATCAGTAAATGAATGAAAAAGTATATGCTTTTTTGTGTTATTTGTATTATTGGGTTCTCTTTATTTTTATGACTTAGATTAAGATCTTATCACATTTTAGGTCAAATTTATGCAGAAATTCAGAAAATTCTACACAAACTTTCTAGCACCACTGTATATGTTAAATTTGGATATCTCGTGTAAGGATGCTGGAAGGAAAGTTCCACAGAACTATGCACTGCTTTGAAATTTAGTCCTCATTATCTTTGGAATAACTATCTGTGAAGGAAGACTATAAGAACAAGTCTTGTACTTTTGGGCTGCAAAGGGTATATAATTATACACTTAGTATGTGCCTACAAACATTTTATATATAATGTATTTGTTTAGGCATTTACAATACTGTAAGTTTCAGAGATTCCTTGCGTATTAATATATTTCGAACTAGTAAAGGCCTTATTTCTGCTGTAAATGTCTTATTGTTCTTCATAAGTGATTTTATGAAGAAACAAAGTCACTGCCTGTCATCTGGCACATACAACAGGAGGACTCTTGCTTTCAAATTTTGAAAAGCTGCATAGTACATTTTTAGAAGCACACAAAATTAGAAACTGACGTAAAAATGACATTTACAGGAGTTTACACTGCAGTGGGGGGTGGAGGGCTTTTAGTAAGTAGGCTTTTTTTGTATCATTTACATATGAGGATATCATATCATCAGAATAATAGATATCCTCTTCTCAGTTTCACACTTTTTTTTCTACTGCTAAGTCAGAATGGGTAACACTTCTAAGAAAAATTTGCCACACCTTGTAGCAGAGAAAATCTCATCAAACTTCTGCTTGAGAGCCCTCCCCTCACTTAGGGGCCAGTTGGAATCCTCTTGATGACAGAAGATGACGTTGTTCAGGACTGCCTTGGAAACACCCAGCGCCGTGATCATCTCACGGTCAATCTCCGCACACTTCGAACTTAGGCTCACCTTCTCGCCGTGTCTGTAGGGCAGCACATTACCACCTTATGGCTTTCCTTTCTCTACCATTCTCCCCATGAACAGTTTGAAGAAAACAGGCAAAATTGTACCTAAACTCAGATGCGTTCAATTATTTAGTTATGAGAACACCTAGAAATGACGAGATTACTCATGCAATCGTATGTATTTTACCAGAAATGCCACTACGTTTTGGATTATGTGAGTCACAAATATACCTATAACTATTTCAAATTGACAGCGTTTCCTTCCTTTTACACTTAGCTTATGAACAGAATACAAAATTTACAAAATGCAATAAAAATACTGCAGACTTAAATACTATACCTCAAATCACTAGTGAATTATAAGATTATCTAGTCAACACTTAATATATTTGGTTCAATAATAATTTATTATTTAATTTATACACCCACTGTATTTAAACATAAACTTTCTTATATTTTTTTAAACAAATACTAAGCAATTAAATTAATGTTGATTTCAAAGGCAATTCATGTCCTCTGATCGCCAAAAAAAAACAGTAACGAACATCACGACCATGAAAATAACACTAAGGAAATGCAGAAGTTATATTAAATATACGGCAACAGACAGTGATTTGATTGCTTAGTAAATGCATCAAGGCAGAAACCTGTATCGGGAGTCTATTCACATTTTATGTATGAAACCTCATGTTTAACCAATAACATTGATTAAACAACACATAAGCAGGTTTTTGAACTACTGGGTTTTTTTTTTCTAAAAGTGAGATGTGGACAAGGAAAAGAAACTGCAATTACAACTTACTTAATTCTAGTGATAACCCCCTCCAGAGTTTTAAACTCTGCCTTTTTTCCTTTCTGTGTGCAAAGCATTGATCTCTGGACAGCAACCACTTCTCCATTGACGTCTTGAAACTGCAACCGAATCTGGGCTCGGACATCAGTCTCGTGAGCAACCTTATGGATTTAAAGAAAAATAAAAAGAAACCAAGTCTTGTAACAGCATGGATGAGAAGCAATGCAGGCATTATTCACATCTTTTAAGAAAGTTATCATGAGACATACAAAGGTTTTTGATACATATGATACATATTTGATGTTAATCAGATCAAAGGTTTAAATCAAATATTCCCATTTGTAACAATTTCTTACTTAATACTTAGATTTTTCTATTACCTTAAACAGTACTTTTCTATTGGAATTACTATAACAAGAACACGACAGAATCACCACAAATAAAAAGGCAAGAAAGTTAAAATATTTGTGTTTATTTTCTCTATTTTATTTTATACTTATTTTTCACAAATGAACATGTTTTATATATGACCCACAGTTCATACAGACAGACACAGCAGTCTGTTCACTCTTGCCAGAGTTTTGTGTAGATATATTTACTTTTGCACAGCTTTGAGACACTTCTGTACTGTCTGGTATTTTACTATCATTATTTGTAATTTGTAATATAAGTAAACACTGCATAGTCGCTTATATCATTGAAGTCACTTAGTATCAGTTTATCTTACTCAATTCCTTCTGATTCCTAGAAAGATTCTACAGAAATTGGTGTGTTTTGACAAACAGTTGTGAAAAAAAGTTTGTGAACCCTTCGGAATTACCTGGATTTCTGTACGAATGGCTCCTAAAATATGATCTGATCTTCATCTAAGTCATAATAATTAATAAAGACAGTCTTATTTAACAAACAATACACACAACATTTTACATTGTCATATCTTTATTGAACAAATGGTTTAAACAATCAAGGTCATTGATGGAAAACGTATGTGAACCTCTAGGATAGTGACATTTTGAAAACAAGGTAATTGGAGTCAGGTATTCACATCAATGAGTCAGGTGTTCCAATCAATTCAGATGTGGGTTTGACCTGGCCTGCCATTTAAAAAAATCTCACAATTTCGGTTACCCGCTCTTCACAACAGAATTCTGTTGAAGTGCAATATGCCCTGATCAAAAGAGATTTCAGAGGACCTCAGAAGAAGAGTTGTTGAAGCTCATAAGACTGGAAAGGGTTACAAAAGGATTTCTAAAGACATGGGCCTCCATCAGTCCACAGTCTGGCAGATAGCACCATTGCTACTCTCCTTAGGAGTGGGCATCCTAAAAAGATCAGTGCAAGGGCACGCCGTACAATCCGCAAACAGGTGACAAAGATCCCTAGGGTGACAGCTAAGGATCTGCAGCCATCTCTTGCACTTGATAACGTCTGTGTTCAATAGTCTACCATAATAAAAATACTGAACGAGAGTGGTGTTCATGGGAGGTTACCTAGGAGGAAATCACTGCTCTCCAAAAAACACATTGCTGCCCGTCTCAAGTTTGCTAAAGACCACCTGGATGTTCCACAGCACTACTGGAACACTGTTCCGTGGACAGATGAAACAAAAGTTTAACTTTTTGGTAAATGTACACAGCGTTATGTTTGGAGAAAACAAAACAAAACACTGCATACCAACACAAAAACCTCATCCCAGCTGGTGGAGCATGGTGGAGAGAGTATAATGGTGTGGGGCCTGCTTTGCTTCCTCAGGGCCTGATTGGCTTGCAAACCAATGAATTCCAAGTTGAGTCAGGAAATTCTACAGCAAAATGTCAGGGCATCTGTCTGTGACCTAAAACTCAAAAGAAGTTGGGTCATGCAACATCATGATGATCCACAACGCAGGAGTAAAACCACAGCAGAGTGGCTCAAACAGAAGAAAAATCGTATTTTAGAATGGCCAAATTAGAGTCCTAACCTCAATCCCAGTGAAATGCTGTGGCCTGAGCTGAAGCAGGCCATTCAAGCAAGACATCCCAAAAATACACATGAACTGAAACAGTTTTGTATAGAGGAATGGGCCAAAATACCTTCTAACTGCTGCATACAGTAGGTCTGATCAGCAGCTACAGAAAGCATTTGGTTGAGGTTATTGCCAATAAAGGAGGTACCAATAGTTACGAAATATAAAGGTTCACATACTTTTTCCATCAATGACCTGGATTGTTTAAACCATTTGTTCAATAAAGATGTGACGCTGTAAAATGTTGTGTGTATTGTTTGTTAAATAAGCCTGTCTTTATTTATTATTATGACTTAGAAGAAGATCAGATCACAGTTTAGGAGCCATTCATGCAGAATTCCATATAATTCCTACGGGTTCACAAACTTTTTCTCACAACTGTATGAGTTGCATTAGACTTAATACACTTAATACAGTTAAAACATCAACACTGATGAATGATCATCTGTCATAGGCAGTAATTGCTATGATCTTCAAATGCATATGGCTATATAAGAAATACTGACTGAGTAATTAAAAAAGTATTACTTTTTAATTACTTAGAGGTCTTTTTTCATTTGACAGAAACCTTTACCTTTGGATCATGTACAAAAGTGTTTCCTTTGCTCCCTGGAGGAAAGTCACCAGTTGTAATGTACTTGAGGCACTCTATTATAGTCTGGAATTTAAAACGCAACGTAAAAAATATGCATTTAATACATCAGTCTGTATTTTAAATTAAAAAGAAACACTCTGCACCAGATTTGCTGAGAAACACATGGTTTGTATATTAATCATTATATTTCAGTTAACATGATTCAGAACATTAGGAGTTAATGTCTTGATTTCTTGTTACAACTGTGTAGAAATGAGGATAGTAAATTTCCAAATCTTTTTATAAAACATGCTTTTAGCTACTGCTGTAAAAAACAAAAATGAGATTATAATTAAAAGGGAATTAAACTATCAATTGTTAATTAATTTACTTTTATGTACTGGAAATATGTTTCCAATCACTCTTACTGGATAGCATTATACATAAAATAATATATCCTAGTCTACAAATTAATTACAATGATGAATGTCTTTTCCTTTTTTTTTAGTAGTTCAAATGTAATGACTTTGTACTTTTTATTTTCTAAAGCAGCCAAAACCTTGTTATGATGAAACATACAATCGTTACTCTCATTTTTTTGCATCTCTTGAAATTCTGTTTCATGACCTATAGAAGGGTTATTTTTACACTGAACCCATCAATTTAATTCCTTTCCACTGACCACTTGTGTTTTCAAGGGAAATAACTCTACAGTCTTCAGAGCTGCTGATACATTAACACTGATATTATCAGACAGCTGGGGGGGGGGAGATAAGTGAAATAAGTAACCACAGTGCCTAGAAGCTCAAAATGGTAAGGAAATTTTAACACAAGACGTCTAAATACTTACTCAAGTGTGAAATATGACTTCAACCTACAGGGACACTTCAGTAATTCTGAAGTTCCTCTGAATATCATGGAAAGTACTCACAGTTTACCGCTACTTAAAATTATTCTTGTCATTAGATGAAGTGTAATTTTAATGAACAAAGTCAGTGTAACGAACAATATTTACTACAGAATATCATACATACATCTGAGATTCTATGCTGCTGTAACATTGCCTTTATCATATCAATCAGGTCTGAAGTTAAAGAGATAGAGACAATCACCATCAGTAGAGTACATGTCACTACTGAAGGGAGGACTTCTGTTGAATACAAAAGTGAGCTTACTGTTTTGCCAGCACCATTGGGCCCAACTAACACTGTTAAAGGGCTGAAGAAGGATATGACTTGCTTATCTTTATCCTCTATTCCAAAACTTCTCACTCCAAGGATGCTCATCTTATCAATCTTCGACATCTTGTTCCTTTTTTGAACCAGTCAGATGCACATCTGAAAAATAACAGCGTATGGCACTGTATTTATTAAAGTACAGTGATCAAATTCTACCATCTAGATTTAGTTATACAACTACCATCACTTGTATACCTTAGTATACCTTAGTGCAGCACCAATGGTGTTCTCCTTACGACAGAGAAAGATGAGCTGAAATGATCACAAAATTACTGTTCAATTACTGTCTTGTTTAGTACAATTTGGTTCTCTGAATCTCATAAAACCTGGAATGGATAACTAGGCAATTGAAGTCCTTTTTGTTTCCCTATGAATCTGTAAATGTTTAAGACTGTCTTTGAAGGTTAATTTCCTTTCGCTGCTTTCAAGTCAAACTTATTTCAGAAATAACAACATGTTCCTTTTTATTTGTTTCAAACACCAACAATACCTCAATTAGTAAAATATTACTCATTATTAGAACACTCATGTATATTTGGTACATTGGAAACTAAAACTTCCTACTAATGAGTTCACGGTGCAAAAATTCTTTCTCTTCCCAAACCTAGTTTTGAAATGTATACTGACTAATGCAATGTTGCCCTTTAAATTGTACACATGTACTCATATTTGTTGAGTCATACTGTCAATTTAGTCATCTGACCAATTAGTTCTTTCCTTTCACAGTTCAGCCAGCAATGCTATTCCTCCATAGAGATGAAATGTCACTAAATGGTAAATAAATACAGGACTGTGTTTGTTGCAGAATAATAGAACTGTAATTCCTGGGTGCATTAGTCAATTAATATGGTTGAAACATTAACTCTGTATTGAATTCGGTGTGGTCTTTCACACTCATCTATTTATAAGTTCTAATGATAGATTGAATTAGATTAAAATACCTAACATAAGAACTACTATGTACATTAAATTATGAATTTGAAATTAATTTTGGTTTAATTGAAGGTGAAAAAAGTCCAGATATAAACTTTAGTGCACAATTTTTTATTAATTTCCAAGCATACAGATTTTAAATGCAATGCATTTGCTGTTCACACTAGACTTGACCTGAGATCACAAGGATTTTAGGTAAAGATATTACAGATATAGTATTCTATCCATAAATGTTACCCTTGTAAGTTACATTAAAACTTAAAAACTTCTGCCACTCCTACATACAGTAAATATTATAACACATACCCTTGTAATGTGTAATGTAGTTATATCTATTGTGAAATAAATAATATACCAGCAGCATATAGGAATCAAAATCATAGCCTGTGAAAGCTAGTGCAAGCAACAGATTTCTGCAAGAGTCCATGTTTCAGCGGGGCTGCAAGTCTATTTCTAGAAACAGTACAAAACCAGTATTATTGAAAATGAAAGCAGTAGTGGCAGGAAACCTATTAAATCGGTGAATATTTTATATGATGACAGACAGCAATCCAGAATACTCTTTGGTCAAGACCTACTTTGTTATAACGTCACTTCTAGTAAACCGAGATGCACATTACCACAAAATTGTGTGAGTGTTAAGTGCTCAATTACCTTGGCTGAGGAGGAGTAACCATGGAAAAAGGCTGAAATGCATAGCAGAAACGTTACTTATTAATTTGTTGGTGCGGTCTTGTTCTGCTAAGCAGCAATGGATAAAGCGTTGAACCTGGGGCTGCCAACTCCAAAGCACTTTCTTGTCTACTGTCTTTTTTGTATATATTGTAAAAAACTACAAAACCCAATTTCCTAAAAATAAATAGTATTCTTTTCTTGCATCCAACTTTGAACAAGGACTTTTGAGCTATCTCAAAATAAAATGGTGGTAGTAATATATATATAATAATGGTGTAATATTTTTTCTCAGTAAAAAAGGGGAAAATCCCCAAACCTGCAAACAGTGATTAGAGTTCTCCATCTCTGGGTAAAATATTTTTTGGGTATGCCTTGAAACATGTGTTCAAACAGTTTCCGGATCTGCAGGTACATATACAGTCCGCCAACGTGCTCATTTTTCATAAGCATCACTGTCTCTCAAAGAGGACAAATGATTAAATTTGTGGTTCTCCTCATATTCTTCTCACACTACAGCACTGGTGACAACAAGTCACTTTTTTACGAGATACAAAGAAATTTGGAAATCCTTCGGAATGCTGAAAACCTTACTTTGGTAGGTGGTTTGGTATATTCAACATTATAATGTTTGATTTTTTCTGCTTAAACATTTCTGGCAATCAATTAAATATCCAATCTCTCTCTTTTTTTTTTAGAATTTGGCAATCATTCCAAAGAAGGCACACAAGATAAAGGTACGGTAAATATTCTCATGTCATACATGCATATGATTACATCTAATAATGTTATTTGATCAAGTATTGTTCCCTGTCAACAGGGAACAATATGCTTTTACTGTAAGTCAAAACTAATTTTTAGATTATTGATAGTGTGGGCTTTTGGGGTGGAAGCCGGTAATACTTATAAAATTATCAATCTGCCTAAAAAAGCCCTTAGAAGGCATTAGACTACAATTAGTCAATTTGGAGGCATAACTACCAACAAATTTCATATAACAGTATGTGAAGAAATTAAGCACTACTTAAACAATTTGGATTTGACATGACATTTTAATAACCTACAAAAAGCATACAAGGTTTCAAAAACATGATTTGCAAACTTAAAAAAATAGCAAAGATTAACTACTAAAACTGAGATGGCGCTATTTTAATGACATCTTATTATGATCTCTTTAAAGCAACAAGTGGTTAGCTTTAAGATATCATCGCCAGGAACCTATTTTCATAGTGCAAAATCTAAAATGAATTCAAAACAATTTATTTATTAAACACTATTACATCACATGTGTTTGCATTTAATGCAAACCTTAATAATAATATATCTTGTTGATTTTGTTTTGTAGTGTGAATGTGTTTCTACAATTTTTGAAAACCTGGAAAAAGTACTAAACAAAACAGATTTTAGCAACGCCACAATGGAGGTAAAAATGAAATCTAGACTTCTGAATGTTCAAATTGGACAGCTACTGAAAAATTCTGAAGCGGTAAGTGCTGTCTTAACTCTTGCAGTGTGAATGTGAGTTTGTTTTTCCCCGTTTAAGATGGAAAAATATGCAAAATCACAAAACCTTGACATGTAGGATTGTTTTTAGGGTTTAGTCTGGTGAGGCTTCCTCTTGTGCTGTTAATCAATATCGAGGGGTACAAATGTGTCTATCCTGTCTGTGACAAAGACCTCTGAAGTCAAAGGTGACTTTCTATTGCCCTGTTGATTAAGCTGTATGAAGAATGAATTTGGTAGGCTCATACTATGATGGGTTCTATAATGCGAATACAGTCATGTGCAGATTTGTCTATTCCTGCATCTTATTTCTATAAAGTATTTTAATTTTTTATGATATTACCAGTACTAAAGAAACCTGGAAATGCAGGCAGTATGTACAGAAATTCATTGTTCTCTTCAATGTTTTATTTACAAAACAAAGTGACCCATGATATACTGTAGTTGAAATTCACAAGGGCCAAGAATGTATCAATATCATTTTTACCATATGATTTTCTTATTTCTACAGTTCATATAAATCAATAGCCTTTTTCTCTGAAACCTTGGTGTCTCAACTCTACAACTGAAGCACTCAAAAACGTTATTATTTAATACATTTTTTTTTGTTTTTTCCCCAGGGGACACAATCTTGTTGGGTGAATGGACAACGAGATAAGCCAAAAAAGGTGTTTGAAAGATACATCATTTACATTAAACTATTTAATGAAAAGTGCCCCAAACCTAGAAACCACAAAAACACTTCGTAGCTGAACGTATCGTTCATTTTTGTTAAGAGTAGCGATATACTTCAAAGATCTTTTTCCTAAAGATATTAGAACCATCATTTGTTTTTTTTCCATTCAAAATACCTACCAAATCACCAGAGGTGTCTGCTTTTGCTAATGAAGGTGATCCCAGTAAACCCTGGAAAGAATAAAAAATTCAGAAAAGATCCAGTAAAAGCCCAAACCACCACTCGTTTATTTATCTTTTTTTATATAAATGCTACAAGCTCTGCCAATGTTACCTAGGCTTTGAACTCATTCTTCACTCTTATTTATTGTTAAATTATTTACATCGTTTAAAATATTTATTATACGTCATTTATTACTTTGTGTATATATATATATTGCAATTGTGTATTTATAAATATTTTTTTAAATGTACAAAACTTTCAAATAAATATTTTTAATGCAAATTGTTTTTTTTTCTTTTAAAAATATGGTGCAGCTTTATTTACAGCAGAAGGCACACCTCCAAGCCCCAGATTTCAGTCAGGCAGGGTTTCTGATTTCTGTTCTAGGAAAATACATTTACTAAACCGATTAACTCCTTTTTGTTGTTGTTATTTTTTACTTATGAATAATTCAAAATTGAATTTTAACATAAAAGTCAAAAGCCAATATCTTTACTAAAAGTCAATCTTTTCGAATTAAACAGGTTTGTTTTAGAGAAATTGTTGATTTATGCAATCCAGTAACAATGGAGGTCAGACTACGAAGAATGTTATTCTTGGGATTACAGTTAGAATTACCAATATATTTCACTCTCGATAGCCCTCAAGTTAAACTGTCAGGGTTTCAAAAAATTTCGCGAAGAACTTTAAAAAATATTATTGATTTTATTCAACTTTGTGTTTGTATCTTTGTAATTCTACTGTGGATATTTAAGTATTATAATAATTTATTTTACAAATGAATAACGTCGATATACTCAATAATTTAACATTACGTTTTCCTCGGCTGCACTATAAAGACAACATCAAATTAAATTGCAAGCCACACGTACACATGCACAACATACATCATTTATTACAACCATCATAGTTGTACAAAAATACAGCATAAGCACAAATTAAAATTATTACACATTTTACAAATACTGAAACATACGACCGCTCTTACCGCGTTTCTAAAGATGACTGCGGAAACTAAACACAGCGCATACTTCCGCCTGGCAGGAAAGGTCAAGAAGGAAGTAGTAAACTTCCTATTACCTGTGGGTCTAGTATTTATCACATTCCACCTAGTTTTGATGATGTACAAATTGTTGTTGTGCTATAAATGTGACTTTAACGGGTCCAGGATTGTTTTTTATGAGACGGGTTTTAGAAACTTTTATTTTGAAAGGCACTGCCAAGCCAGCGTCGCTTAATTTAGTTTGTTTCACGCTACTACAAGACGTTAGGTAGTAAAGCAAGCTAAACTAAGCGACACGAATGATCCGGAAGTGTATGTTAATAGCCGAATTTCAATCAAAATAAAAGTACTTCAGCGACCACGGTAGCGTATGAGGAGTATAGCAACATTAAGCGAAGTGACAAACTGCTGAAACACCTGCTTTGTTATTTCTTCGTGGTTAACTGTCATTCCTTGAACATTCTGCCAAAATTTGAGAGGGTCTTTTTTAATTTTAAATCGCCTCCACTAATCTCCAAGTTTGACAAATGTAAGATTATTAAAAGTTTTTATTAATTTTACAGCACCTTTCTTCCGTTTATACTACTGTAAAAATGGTTGCTATTTTTTTAATAGAAATGTTTTTTTTTTCTGTTCAATGAAAATTTTTTAAGATGTTAGCTTTTAAAGGAGCTGTATCTGAAATTTGTAATTAAAATCAAATCCTTTATTATATTTAAATTCAATCAGTTTTTTAAACCATAACCAGGGACAAAAACATTTTTTGCACCATCAATCATTTTTTGCACATTTTTTGCATTGTATGAAACATACAATGTTAAGACAGTCAGCCAATAGCAGATCACAATTCTTTATTCAGTTTTAAGCCTTTATTAATATTGTTGGTCTGGGTGGATAACCTCTAGAAAAACTGCAGCGCAGAATTGGATGGGGAAAATTTGTACCTTGCCAAAGGTAGATGGCATCTATTGCACAGAGTCTCAGCTAATAGAAAATCACCATGGTTTTTTTTCAGATAAGTGTCTCTGTCAAAACTGCTGGGGTTTATATAGTACCTCCCATTCCTAGACTTGGACAGTGAAGTGATGGTGCAGGGAGTGGTCTCACCCTCCTTCCAACAACACCAAAATGAATGCCTCTCCAAAAATACCTCAGATCTATTCTACAGACCCACAGGTAACAGAAAATCACCATGGTTTTGTCAGATAGGTGTCTTTGCTAAATTTGCTGGGGTTTATAAGACCACTTGCTGTTCCCAGACTGGGGCCGTGCAGTGATGGTGCAGGGAGTGGTCTAACTCTCCTCCCTACCAAACCAAAATTTTTGCCTCTCCAAAAATACCTCAAATAGGTATGTTTGCTAAAGTTGCCGGGGTTTATAAGACTACTTGCTGTTCCCAGACTGGGACTGTGCAGTGAAAGTGTAAACAACAACTGTGATTCCAACCAAAGTAATGCTAACACTAAAGATCAAAGTATTGCGACCAAAACCATAGCTGTGACACGGAGTAAGCGTACAATAAAAGAAACAGTTCTTAGGCACAGAGTGGATGACTGGCAATGTTTTGAAAAGGCATAAACTGTAATGTATCTGTAAATCACCCAACAGACAAAAAAACTAAGGTGGAGTGTGATGCTTGCAATGAGTGATTTAACTTTGTGTAGGTATTACACAGAATGACAAAGATATTGAATCTGTGGGGTTTCTGTGTTGCTCAGAAAAATGTGATGTTAAAGTCATGGCATTAAAAACTGGGTTCGGTTTCTTGAACAAATGTGAAGCAATCAGCAGTGTAATACAGATTGATGTAACCAAAAAAAACGTTAACATTGATGTATCACATGTCAGCATTGGTGTTCAAACAGCGCTGGATTATCTAATTTTTGGGGCTTATTGTGGTAAAACAGACAATAAATTGATGGTTTCCCAGAATAGGGAGATCAAGCTAAATGGTGACACAGAAGTGGAAAATAGTATTGCATGTAGTGCATCTATCACCCAAGGAAATTGTTCCTCATGTTATTACTTAACATGTAAAGTAAAATGCACAGTATGGATGCCTGCAGAAGAGATGTCTATGGTACAGTATGAATCTAGATGGTAGCTGTTATGAGAACACCCCTGAAATTAAAACACACAAGATAAGGCACCCAGACGGTACCGGGGACCTGACACTAGGTTGAGAGGACAGTGGTAAGTTTCCCAAACCAGCTACAATAACCCAGGAAACTTTGCAGAGATAATTTTATCAGAAAAGGCCATGGTGAAGTTTTTCAGAAGCACAATACAAACAAAATTACACTTTTCCCTTTCCCAGGAATTGCCTTTGCTGCCTTAGTGCAGCATCTCAAGGGAAGGTCCTTCAGGAAGTACACTGTACATGGGAACATGTGTTTGCAGCGGTATTGGGCGGTACTTTCGTGCATTGAACAGAAATTTAGAATTAAAGCAAATGATCAAAACATCACAACACAGCCAACACATAGCATAGACTAAACTTATGTTGTGTTTGTTTTCTGGAAATAAAGGAGGCATCAGACAGACATATGTTGGTCGAACCATGTACTCACAGTTGAGAATGATAATACTCATGAAACACAAAAAAACACTGGAGACACTGAACAGTTACGTATCAACTCTACTGCATAGTAAAGAGGCACTGAAAGAGTCTTTGAATAGCTTGCAATCAGTGACAAAGAAACAGACAGCATTACCTGTAACATTACACAAGACTTTCAAGACCCTTCTGGGATATAAAGCTATTCAGATTTCCCAAAATACCCGTAGATGCCGAACCAGTTAAAATTGACACAGAATCTTATATTAGAGAATTTCTCACTAAACATCTATCATCGAAAATTGGACTCCCAAGCTGTGGAGTCCTGGTGGTTTTCTTGCTGTTAAATTAGGTTTTTCCTTCCCCCTGTGCTGTGCAGAATTTATGTGTCCAAAGGATAATAGGCCAGATAGCTAAAGCAGCATTTGAATGCTGAGTAGTTCTACACTCGAAATAATAAAAGCTGATCTGAATTAAGAGAAAATGGCATAATCTGTAGTATTTTGATACAGAATACCTGCAAGGTATCTTTACCTCCCAGTCTATCGGAACACATGGGGGAATCAATTATCAACTTGTACTTGGGCAACATGTAAGCCATCGTTTCCACATTACCGGATCAAATCAAAAAGGCTCCATACCATGTCTGTTGCAGAGCCACCTTCTCAGGAAAGACACATCACCACTGAAGGTCTTTTCAATATTTTGGCTGTTTCAATACACTCTAATAAATATAATATAGCAGAATACCAAAGTTTGATAATATGTCTTACATTTACACCCCAAACAATTATCCCATAGACAGTAAGGAAAAATGTGTGAAATTGACCATTTATTTCAAACCAGAAAGTATGATCCGCTTGTGAAGTGCCCATATTGTGATAACATGCCCCTAGAGACAAATCAACTATCAACGGGCTAAAAGGCCCCTACAAACCCCAGCGACATTGACAAAGGACGCTCATCTAGCAAAACCATGGTTATATACTATTAGGTGGGGGTCTGTAGAACAGATCTGAGTCACTTTTTGAGTAGGCACAAATTTTGGTTTGGTAGGGAGGAGAGTTAGACCACTCCCTGCACCATCACTGCACGGCCCCAGTCTGGGAACAGGAAGTGGTCTTATAAACCCCAGCAAATTTAGCAAAGACACCTATCTGACAAAACCATGGTTATGTACTATTAGCTGAGGGTCTGTAGAGTAGATCTGAGGTATTTTTGGAGAGGCACAAATTTTGGTTTGGTCGGGAGGAGAGTTAGACCGCTCCCTGCCCCATCACTGCACGGTCCCAGTCTGGGAACAGCAAGTGGTCTTATAAACCCCAGCAACTTTAGCAAAGACACCTATATGACAAAACCATGGTGATTTTCAATTAGCTGAGGATCTGTAGAGTAGATCTGAGGTATTTTTGAGTAGGCACAAATGTTTGTTTGGTCAGGAGGG